CTACCGCCGGACTGCCCGGTCTACCACACAGCATAGTGAGCGAGCCCGACCCCCGGCCGAGCCCGCCCGCCCCAAGCCCCCGTTGACCTTGAATGATAAAATAACGAAACTTCCTGAAATACGCGAACGAACTACCAGTACCGCCCCTCCACCCGACCTCTTCAACCACCCACCCCCCGGCCCACCCCATCACACACTTGACCTGTTGTTGAGCTGCTACGCGACCACACAGCGACATCAGCACTACACCACCCCTAATTTTCTCCTCTTGATGACTTCATGTGTTTAGATTGAGTCGTCTTACCAACAACGCGGAAGTAATTACTGTTACTTCTTCCAATGATGGGAATAATCATGATGCCGAAAGATTGGAATACGAAAGCTCCGTAAAATCTGTCCACTCCGCTTCTTCCGAGAAATTTTAAGGAGAGTCTGTACTCTTGAGAAAGAATGGCGAAGATAAATGCAGACAAGTTAAAGTGTGAATGGAACTAATGACAAGTTTGATGATGATTGAATACACTAGTAAAAAAAATAAGACTTACACATTACGTTGCGCATGACTTCTACCAATTGTTAAACAGGTACGTACCGAAAACTGATACACAGGTTTATTTGTACCTAAATAACGAGTTTGTCAATCGGCAAATTGTGATTAGTGTTTTACAGAAATTAGTGTATTGTATTATTATAAAGATAATAAAAAAACTGTTTTGGGCAAAATGCTTTCACTATACATTCTCGATGTTCGGCGAATATAAAGTTAAGTACTATCATAAAGTCATATAAAGCCAGTGTGAATTATTTCACCCTATGTTGATTAATGTATTGAACAAAACAAAAATCTATTGTTAATTTTTTTTTCTTATCTCATATAGAAATGATTAGTTATTAGTATATATTCTCCAGAGCTTGATTTCTTGAGATTTTCATTGGACTCTGCTAATTAAAGTTTAAATATATTTCTGGCGTTAAATATTGTTTAATTTTAATTCAAAGAACTAAGAATTTTTAATTGCCTTTGATACTCTTCCGCTCACACATGGCAATGGCTAATATAAAACAAATTAGAAAAACATTACAAAAGATATTTTATTAGATTAGATTTATTATTATTTTGTTAGAATGTAGGAGCGAAGACTGTTAAAAGCAATGAGATCTGGATAGCTCAATAGTTCGAGCATTTCGCCTGGAGCATAATCGCCTGGAAAGCGAAAGATTCGGATCAAAATTCAATGTGCAACGAGCTTCTGTTTGCACAAAGTCGTACCAAACTAGTGTATTCAATTTCCTTAAAAAGGAAAGAAAGTGTGAAAGAGATAAGAGAGAATGATCGATACAGAATGAATGAATGAGAGAGGGAGGGTGAGAGGGAGAGAGAGAGAGAGAAAGAGGATGAAAGTTGTAGGTATCATAATTGAGTATGTGCGTGAGTTTGCGTTTAACGTTCTTGCATTTTTAGAAGTTCACATTAGAATGCATTTTTGATATAATTTGTCGCAATCAAACCAAATACAGTTAGGCAGAATTAATGACAACAGTTTAACAACTCAGTTTCTTTTACGATCTTCCAATTCAAGGTGTAATTGTAAATGTAAAAGGTCTGTTCAATTTAGCCGTACTCTCTCTCGCACTCTCTTCTTGCAAGAAACGAATACTTGAATCTTTTTACATTAAAGAAAAAATTTTTTCGCAATATACACACACATACATACACACACACACACACACACACGTACAAACAATTGTACTTATAGAAAAAAAATATTAAATGAGATTTATGTAATGAAACGATCGTTGGAAGTAATATTAGAATTGGAGGGTTTATGCAAGCATAGATACGCATGTTCGTGCGCAGTACGAAAATAAATTAATGCGAATCAAGTGCGAACAAAATCAGAAAACATATCAATCTTACTGTATTTTTTGTAAGGTAATACACATTAACTAAGGGTAAAGTTTGAAAGAAAGAATAATCAAATATAATTTACAAAATCACGACACATGACACATTTTGTTTTTGATTTAAGAATTGGCGAATTCCGCGCTTGCAGTGCGCAGAAATATTCAGAAACAAACTAACGACCAATCGTAAAAATTCGGTAAAAATATCGATTGGCACGCACAGTTCCAAATTGACGATCCAAAGAAAGTATTATACACTGCTTTCGGTTTAGAAAACAATCAACACATTTGACACAAATCGCCACGTGTCTTTTTCCATTTATAATTGTGATAATCGACACTCTTTGATTCTTCTTGGGAGGAGAGTCAAACTCGAATGTGTTAATCGAGTTTGTCGATTTGTCTTTTAAAAAGAAAGCAGCCATATATAATAACATTTCATCGATAAGTTTTGAAATTTGAAGTTAGAAACGTGTTTATCGACAGACACACTCTGATTTTTTTTTTTCTCCAATGAATAGACAGCAAATTGTTTCGATTGTTCTTGAACGACAAGAGACAAGTTACTAACGAGCGAAAGCTCTGTCACAAAAAAAATCAGCCACAACATTGTCAGTTTTTAGAATTGACTTTTTTGGCAATAGTTGGAATAAGAGAGATTTATCTGATGAATATTGTACATATATATGTATATATATGTTAAACGATAAACAAAACGACGTTTGCGTTTTTTTCTTACATAAAACATTATATTTTATCACATCATTTTTTATTACGTAATAGAAATAAGTTCAAGATCTTCCTTGACAATACTCAAGATGTATTTTTTGTAAAGATATAACGTGATGCATTTGTTTCTCTGTTGGCCCTTGGCCAATAATTCGGTTCTACGAGATGAGAAATGAAGCTTCTTCCACTTTGTAAAATTCATCATAAAGTAGATAATGCATTTCAAGTCTAGAAAGTTACTCATGATGATACATATCTCTTTTGCGCCAGGTCTTCCATTATTGTATTCTTTTCATCAACTTTAGATCGAAACAGTTTTCGTTAAGCGAGTAATTTATTTTTTCTAGTTTTCGAATTATACAGTTTTTGGACTTGATTGGTTCAACTTTCCAGTTAATTATTTCGACTAAGAAATCTCGATAAGGAAAGAAAATTATAGAATTCGCACAACGTATCAATTTTAATATTTTCTGATTTTGTTTGCATTTTGTTTGTATTTGAGTAAATTAGTAACGTAATTTTCTACTGTACACGAACATATCGTGCTCGTATAAATCCTTTAGTTCTAATATTGTTGAATAAAAGAGGTTATTATTAAGAGTGACAATTTTTTATTTGATACAACAAAAAGTGTAAATGTATTGGATTGATTGGTAAAAAAATGTATTCGTTTTTTATACGTAACTCTTGATGGAACAATTTTATATAAATGTTGTGGCACACACATGCGAATAAAGAAAGCCGTTTGTTAAAAATTTGTTGTTCAGCTTGAAAGATAGAATTTGTTTAAAATTTTCAGAAAAATTCTTGTGTAGAATATATATAATCAAAGAGAAAAGAACGAATGAACTTTTTAATCAATCTAATACATCATTTGTAGCAGAGAGAGTAATAGGCCGTTTATTCGTAATCCTAATGATTCTATTCAGCGTTTTTGACTGTGGCGCTTTTTCTTTCGTTTCGCATCATATTAATTACTAAAATTGCAAAAAAACAATAAATTACTTGAAATTGAAAAACAAACAAATACTGTGAGAAAAACAATCACACACTAATACATGTATATATGCAAGTTTCAATTAGACGATACAAATTATAATTTTTTTCTTATACATATATATTACGTACTGAAATACACTAGCATGTTTTAATTCTAAGTATATAAAATTATATAATAGCGAAGAGAGACAAAGAAATGAGGCAAGAAACAGATAAAAGCGCCATGATTAACAACTCTGATTTTATTGGCTGTGTTAATGAATGTAATAAAAATTCAAATGCACTCAGTTTTTATCGTGTTAGGAGGTAGCACAAATACGTAATTGTTGCAAAGTTATTACAGAGAAGAAATCACATAAAGATAGATAAAAAAGTAATTTTACATTCATTAAGAAGAGCTAATAAGTATTTTATAGAATCATCAAAGGAAATTTTATAAAATATTGTTAAGAAATAATTTCACCGTAAAGCATTTTCTTTTATGATTTTACAAATGTAGAAAAAAGCAAAGAAGTTTAATATAAAAATATATCAGGTTGGTCAAAAATTTATTCTCTACTTGATTTGTTTTATTTTTTTCTAATCCTTCTCTTTTTGGATTATAAAAGAAGCAAGCAAATCGAATTTTTGATCAGCCTAAGGTGAAATACAATAAATAATAGTACGTGAAAAAGAGGTGGTGCAGAAAAAGTGCGACTAAAACGAACAAACCTGAGAAAAAAACTGATTTATTTTTTAGACAAAATTTCAGGTGACAATTACTTAAACAGTTGTTCCTCTTTGTAATATTGTATAAAAAAAAAAAAGGAAGGATTTATATATTCATGAAAGAAAAAAAGATGAATTGCAACAACCAAACGCAAAGTATTGCGCGATATTAGCCTATTCGTCATATAGACTCGATTATTATACTTCATATGTTAAATGTAAATTAGTTTCGAATTATGGCATTTACTTTTAAGTTTTAACTTCATTGATATTTGCATAAGAACACTCTAACTCTATTGATATGCTATTAAAATTTGATTTAATATAAAACACACGTATACTTTCTTAATTTTTCAAAATCAAATTTCAGTTTTTATCTTATTTTTGATTGTGTATATCGTACTTTACGATAATACTTCTATTATTGTGTTTATTATTATGAATAATTGTATAATATCGTATTAAATATTTTACACTTCAAGTATATTTGCTTAATGAATAAAGAAACAAAATAAATTCTTTCCCTGCACAATTATTTACCCTAAGTTTGACAATAAAAGAAAAACAGTAAAAATTTATATACATATATATGATATGTATACATACACAAGATCTTTATATTCTTCTTAGTCATTATTTTGTCACATTGTATTTGGTTTCGTATACTTTTCACTCTTTTAGGAAATATAATAATCGAAATAATTACACATAATTAATGATTTTCTTTTTTACGAAATATCAGACAATTTAACAATTTTTGAAAAACTTTTTCTCGTTAATAAATACTGTAATTTTTCTAAGCCAAATTTTGCGCGTGTGTATATGTGAGTGTGTGTGTTTTGAGATGGACAAATGTAATTGCTCTTGTAACATATATTTCAATTTAGGTTACGTGAAAATGCTGCATAAACAGAGGTGACAATCGGAGTATTATTACAAATTTCTTGAATCTGCTGTAATAACATATAAAGTGAGAAAATATTAAGTATAATGAGAAAAAAATTTCTCTTTGTTGGCAAGACAAACCATAAAATCTAACGTAACAAACTATTATAAAATTGATTTGTATTATTTTCCTTCTTCATCTTATTTTTTCTTGATATTACTGCCTTTTACATTGTCATAAGTAACTCATTAAACTCGCCATATACGCCATATACGCGTAATAAATGTACATACATACAGAATAAAACAATTCTTATTAACTTCCACACTTCATAAGTAACTATTTTATATTTTCTAACAACTTTCAGAAAGCATGTCTCCCAATAATGCAGCATCTTCATCGAAATCTGTATATCATTAATTAATTAATTACTAATAATTAACAATCTTTCTCGATAGATTATTACCATACGATAAATGTTTTGTATCTCTTGATTAAGTATATAGCAATTGTTTTTTTTTGTTTTTTTTTTTTGTTTTTGATGAGCGAGTTTGATTAATTCGAAGTTAGATTGACACAAAGTTTACAAAAAAAGTGAAAAAAGAAACAAACACAAAGATGTGTGTAGAGATGGGGTGGAGAGAGCGAATGTGAACGAATGAGTGACAAAGGTGAGAAAGGAAGTAACAAAGAAGTTTTCTTAATTGATAATTGTAGCACAATTATTTCATTAGGTACAAGAAAATTGCGATGATAAAAAATTTTCGATATAGTTGCAACAAAGATAAATTGTCAAGAAATACAAACAATTTTATGCAAAAAAAGTAATGAAAATTATAATGTGATGGAAATAAAAAAACTAAAATAAAAAGAATTATATACGGAGAGATGAGAAAGCTATTTTATGGAAACACATATCTATATACAATTTCTTATTATATTTGTATTGTATAGTTTTGATTAATCCATTTTTTCTGATATGTTTTATTATGATGGATAATTACTATTACTTATTGATTTGTCATTCAATTGACAAATTTGTAGAAACACTTATCAGACTTGAATAGTTGTGAATAATAAATACAAAATAAAACTACATTATATATAAACAATTTTTTTATGTTTAAAATATATGAAGACAAATGTATAAAAATATACTTTATGTAATTTGAAAATAACGAAGGTGATTTTTATATAACAAATTCTTGACATAACAAACTAAAACTTTCTTTCACATGTTTAAACAGCAGGTTCTTTATACATATATGTACAAATCTCTGTAGTAGTCTTCTTTTTAGCAAGATTAACTAATTTAAAAATATAGAAAAAGAGAAGATAGACAGAATTTGGTATTTGCGTGGAAATTTGTGAAAATAAAAGTTACTGATAATTTTGCAATCGAGTTTTTACATTTGCCATTTCCAATACCAATGCAAAACAACAGTCATTTCAATTTCGATTTTAGAAACAAATTCGAAATTACAGGTAACGTGAAATAATGTAAAAGAAATAAAAATGAGAGAAAAAGAATGACGTGTGTATGTGTATGTGTGTGTGAGACAAAGCGAGAGAGAGAGAAGAAACATCATGCAAATACACTTTCATAAACACGTATATGAAGCGCGTGACAGAACACACACACATTTTTAAATAGAATATGCTACATTCATAAAAAATACGTTTACTACATGACGAGTTGATCTCTCTTTTTCCAATATACTGTAGAAGCTTATTATTTCTTAAGAAACAGAAAACACAGAGGGAGAGAAAGATTGAGAGAAAAAGAGAAAAAAAAAGAAGAATCGGCTCGTTTTGGCGTAATCGTATCGACATAACGTAGGAAAACCATTATGAATATATTTCTTTTTTGCAAAAATATTATTACTTATAAATACGTCACATTATATATATATATATAAATATATATATAAATATATAAATAAAATATATATAGAGTTGAATGAGAGAGAGAACGAGAAAGAGAGAACAAGAGAATGAGTGTGAGCGAAGAAAAGCGAGAAAGTGAGAGAATAAAGCTACCTTATTTGAAAGAAAAAAAAAAAACTACGGAAAGAGAAGTTGTTCTCATTTATATATAGTTTTAATTGCGAAGAAGTAATTGTGAATTGATGCGTATAAGAGACAATTATATTCGAGATATTTCTTTCCCTAAGAAAGATAAAGAATACGATCCTTGATACTGTGGAATTATAAATAAGCGAGTGAGAGAGAGTAAAAGAGTGTGAGAGAGACTGAAAGAGCACGTGTGAGAGAAAGAGAGAAAGAATGATTGTGCTTTTAATTCATAATTAATTTTTAATTAAGGAGTTCTTTTTTTGTGCGAATATACTTGTATAGATAGAACAATTGATATTCTTGTATTCATTTTTTTTTCTTTTATTTTATTTTGTATCTCTTCTGGTTTTCAATTGTGAGAAAAAGAATCAACTGCACCAAAACTACTTCTCTTCGTTTATTGCGAATATTTGCAAACAAAATTAAAAAAAAAAAAAAAGAGAAGCGAACCACAACGCAAAAAAAAAAAAAGAAAAGCCACTGACACTCGATAAACGATAGAGTAAATAACTGAGAGAAGGTGTCACGATAAAATCGAGTAACATTATTATTATTATAATTAATAATTATAATAAATACAATATTTGTACAATAATATCGACGGAATTTTACTTGCTAGCAGTGTAAAATTGCTACGCACTCGAGTCCATTGTTTAATTACTTCAGTTTCCCTTCCTCCCGCGTCCCTTCATGCTGTTTACACATAAAATAACATTATATGCATGCACTCGAGTTTATTATTATTATTGAGATCAGGGATAGGATTAAGATCAGAGAAATAGAAACTCAAAATGTTTGAATGAAAAATCTGTCCAAAATCTGTCTTATACTGTTCATTTAAAATTTTAAGATATATACCATCACAAAACTTGGATTTTGTCAAAATAAAAAGAACGAAAAAAAAAAGAATTAACATTAAAAGAAATCAAGGTGTGTGTATATATATATCACACAGTTCTTTTATATTAAATTTTATAACAGAATTTATAATATATAAATTTATTATCTCAAAGTCCAGATTTCAATGATGATATTTTTATTCGCAAACAAATTTCTCTTTTAACTCTTCTCATTATTATAGTTACATTATAATAATAAATTAAATATATCAAGAAACGTAATAAGTTAATTAACAAATTAAAATACCGATATATCGAAACATAAAATTATTTCGAAATAGTTAATTTGAATTTGCAGTTACTTTGGTACGTTAATTATACTGCTTTTCAGTATACACATTGTTTTTTTCTTTGTGTTTATTTTTTTTTTTATTTTTCCGGAGAGTTTGTTCTCAATCGGATCACAGGTATGCGACAGCATCTGGGCAGCTGATGCGCCATGCTGGCGTCGTTGATCATCATCGTGGACTGCGCTGATACAGGACTGTGTCACGTCATGGAACCACCGTGGACTCTCATATGCCTATTGAGATTACCGCTCTGACTAAATCTAAGCAGACACAGCTTACACTGGTACGGTTTCTCGCCGGAATGAATTCGCAAGTGTTTGGTAAGCGTCGAGCTGTCGGAGAACGCCTTTTTACAGCATCGACACCTGAAAACGAATGAGGGATTAACGCTTGATGTTGCAACAATATAAACTCAAGTAAAATTATTATTTTTGCTTTGTGCCGCGATATATTATTTATTACATTATTTGAAGCAAACAGAACTGTTGCCTCATCACAGCTCTGAGAGGGAATTCAACCTACGTACCTATAGGGTCGTTCGCCCGAGTGCGTTCTCATATGCGTGGTGACCGAGCTGCTTTGCGAAAATCTCCTGTCACACACCGGACATCGGAACGGTTTTTCGCCGGAGTGCGTTCTTGCGTGGGCGGTCAGATTTGCCGCTTGGCTGAACGCTTTCGAGCATGCGTGACATCTTCAAAGTAAAAATTACATTAAAAGTCCCGTGTTACAATTCGAAACAAAAATTGTGCGTTAAAAAGATTTTTTTATTTTTAACTATGTGCCTGACGCCAAAATCAATCAAAAAAACTGACCTGAACGGTTTTTCTCCGGAATGAGTGCGCAGGTGAGTTTTGAGGGTGCTAGGCCTGGCATACGATTTCCCGCATATTCTGCACAAATTGGGTCTGCCATTGTCCTCGGAGGTGACGCCGCCCGCGGTACTCGGTCCTGTACCCACGCAAATCGCGTGTTCACCCCCGAGTTGCAGCCGGCCACTACCGTGATGCGGCTGAGGGTGAGAATGGGGATGGCCGATCAGACCGCTATTGGCCGGCGCGCCTTGATTCACTCTCGTGGTCGTCTGCGCCGTCGCCTCGACCGGATTGCCATACTGAGGGGCGGGACTTAGAAGGGGTTCCACGCCCCACGTCGACGAATAGCTTTGCTCGTATCTGGAGATACACACATGCACACAGAGATAAAAATTCATACGTATAGCGGGATCGGATGTAGGATCGAATATATAGGTGCACTTTGTGAGATGTGGATATAAAAAGTAAGATGGCGACCATTGTCGCGGGATGAATGTTTTTATCGAAGTGACAAGGGCTGATGTAATCTTCGATAAGTGATGTGAGTAGAAACTCGGGCAAGAGGAATTTTTACAAAATAAAGTGGTTTGATGGGAAAGAGAGGAGAGAGAGAGAAAAGCGAATAATTTAAAACCGCGATATACAGACTTATGATAAACTGACTTTTACTAAAAAGAAACAAAAAAAAAAAAAAGAAAATATAGGATAAAACATGAAGAGAATCGACATTCACGTATTTTTTACCCGGAATGCATGTTCATGTTCATGGTCATGTTCATTGACACGTTGACGGACATGGCGGCGGACGCGGAACCATAGTGACCCGGACCGGGGACCGCCGGTGTCAGATTCTGCACATAGTCCTGCGAGTAGTGATGAGCGGCTGCGGAACTGGCTCCGGTCGAGTAATAACCGGCGGTAGGACTTCCGGGATGCACCACCGCGTGTTTCAGGGACAACAGAACGTCGGCGACGCCTTCGCCGTTCGCACCGTTGCTCGTTCGGGGCACGCATTCGCTGCGCGAGCAACCCCAGCTGGAAAAAAACCTTGATTTTTACGAATTCCATCGAAGAATTGTTGTCGAGAAATTAATGACGAAGGAAAATAAAAGAAAAGAAAGCGGAGATAGAAAGAAGAAGAGATACAAGAGAAGAAGAAGGAAAAGAGAATCAACTCACTTGTACGTTCCTGAACAAGGACTGAATAATCCGGGAGGCAGCGGGTCCAGATCCAACGGAGGCAGAGGAAAGCCCGCCATATCGTCGACCCAGAAGCTGGCCCCGAATTCGTTCACTGCTTGGCCGGAAGTCGAAAACTGCTGGCCCTGCTCCGTGCCGATGTCATCCGGCGAGCTCTGCAGATCCTGTAGGCGCAGCGTACCTTGCAGAGCAGCGCCGAGAGCTGCCGCCTCCTCGTTCTGATGGTCGGTTGATAGAGCGTCGTCGGCCGAGAGCACGCCCAACGATCCTGGGCAAAGGCTCGACGAAATAGTCGCCTCGATGCTACCCACGCTACCTAAAATTTCAAGCAACAATCTCGACTGGGTGAGTTTGATTAAAACGCGATAAAAAAAAAAAAAAAAAAACGTTAAATAGAAGATAAAAATCATATTTCTCTTGTATAACGCAATTGAAAGTATCGGTTGAAAAATATTCGCAACACATAGTGACTACCTAAAAAAAACTAACTACCACTTAATGTTATATTATTTGATATTCGTTAAAACGCTTATTTTGTGCAAATGTTCATTTTTCGTTTTATTTTTCGAAATTTCATAAACTGACACAAAGTATCTTCGTGAAAAAAAAAAAAAAAAGAAATCACGACACTTTTCCTCACGACTTTAGAAGGAATTCCATTAAGAGGAATCGTCAATTGGACGTTGCGCCAGGATAACAATTACGTCGAAGCGGCGGGAGTTTCACTTTGTCACCCGCGTGATTTTTTGCGCGTCGTCTTCGGGAGGGGGAAAGGGGAAAGAGATTGAAAATCGGAATGGAAAAAACTCGAGTCTCTCACCTGTGCCGAGGGTGTAGGGCGGCTCGGAGGTGTTGATCGCGTGATGATTCTGCAGGAACTCCATCTCTGCGAAATTTCCGACAGCCACCTATCCCCCAGATGCACACCCCTGCATCCACCTACCCCTCCTTCGCGATCTTCGCCGCCTTTCTCGCTCTCTCTCTTTCTCTCTCTCTTTGTCGGAGACGCGCTGTGATCCAGCCCTCTCCGGTCGTCCTGGTAACGGTGCGCAGCTTCACCGCGAGCCGCCGTTCGCCATCGATGCTGTTTTTTACGATACGCACAACATAAACCAAGTGGAAGTGAATGAGTGGTGAAGAAATATATAGTTTGATTTTATTTTTTTAAAATATATATATTACGCTTGTCGAATTGATCAAGCGTGCTGCGAGATGAAAAGAACTCGAACAATCAAAAGAACGTGTTTGAGATGACGCATTTTCAGGAGAGTGGTGAGAAAAAACTTTTCAAATCAAATTCGAGATATATCAACTTTTTTTTTATTGTCGAATTTATTGATTTTTGCTCTCGGCTCGAATTGATGATTGGACAAAAATTGCAAATTGTAAAAAGAAATAGGATTGAAATACGAGACAAAGCTGAAATTAAATATTCAGAAGAACCTGTCAAAGAACACATCGAACATTACCGGAAATAAACATCGTGAAAACGTTTTGAATGCTTTTTTTTTTTTCATTGGGCACAAAGTACATTCTTGCAACCGTCGATGTGATTTCTGTAAATACGTATGTGAGTTTGTTTTACGTGACAATCGCGCGCGTTTTTTGTTATCGGATATTTTTTCGCAATCGCGAAAATCAAAATATGAGATGAATCGATGAATGACTTTTTATGAATGACTGAATGAAGAAGGAAAATACACGTGCATACGGCTCGCCACGCGTAAAGACGAACCTTTATGGCTTGGAAGACCTGCCGGTCCCTGCTAGAGGCTTCTGCAGAAAACCTGTCGGCGGATATTCCCATTCACAGAGTCGCGATGTCTCCATCTTCCTTACATATGATCTTCGCATCTAGTACGTACTCCGCGAGAGAGGTCTTCATTCTTATTTTCTTTCGAATCTCTGTCGCTAATATTGTAATCTCGATCTTTTTTTTTTTTTCAGGGAAAAACTCCCAGTTTCGTGTTTACTTGCGGAATCTCGTTTCTTCCAGCTCAATGACGAGACGCATCACTTAATCAGGTAATCGGGCACAACGGCGCAACACACGCGGTATAACAACATCTGCGCGATGACACTTATAACACACACTGTTTTTAGTAAAATTGTAAAGTTTTTATTTCATTCACAAGTGTAAAAAAAACAATTTTCACTATTTATTTGTGTGACAGTCACATCCTTTGCATCTCAACTTCTCACTTTCACGTTCACTTCTTCTTATTATTTCTAGCTTCATTAAAATTTTCTCTCTGTATAGCTTTTTTATATATATAATATATATATATATATATATATATATATATATATATTATACACAGAAACACATTTTTAACAATTTTAATTTTTACTTTAAATTTGTTTTATAATTTTCGAATTTTTTTCTGCTTTCTTGAACGTGCACTCGTAGCGTTTCTCTTTTCGCAGGAGTAACTTTTCACTGTGTTTTAGTGTCGTATTTCACAATGTTCTTCAATTGTGAACGTGCTTTAAAAATCTGACATTGAATCGTAATGTAATCACAATTGCAGTATCTCATTTTTTTACACTTTTACAACAATAATGAACCACTTCGCGTGCACTGTGTCGCGCTTATTCGTCAACTAATCATCTTCCAGCGAGTCGAATTTTGATTTTAGCGAATTATTTGATTGACGTAACAACAATACAACATCCCCAACTTCGAATCGTTTTTCCAGAGAGCGAACACTTCGAGCGGTGAAAACTTGAAGGCGACGGCATGCGACTTCCAAAGACACTAACTGCCATGCTGGCGGGATGGCATGTCAATGTCTCTTGGCTAACTAGCGATGTACCACCTATCTACCACCCACTCTCTCACCCCTTGAAGCGGCTCACTGACTATGTACGTATCATTCGACGAACCCTACTCCACCGCTCTCTTCCCTTTTTTCTCCCTCTCTCTGTCTCGGTTTTCGTTGCCCTTTCTCTTCTTCGCCACTTTTTCTTCCACCAACTGGTGTACCACATATCGTTCTCGGGTCTTATGTACCCCTACTTGCGTAAAAGTGTCTGTGTTTGCGTGTGTGACGTGCGAAGCGAAGACAAAGTATATAATGTGATTTTTTATCGCGTGCCAGAAAATTTCAATTCTCGACCGGAAAGTTAAGTTTTCTGTTTATAAGTTACAAAAAAATAAATTAAAACACGCGCGTAAAAACGTAAAAAATTTTACAATATATTAAAAATGACAAAAGGTTTTCCTTTTTTTCAAAAAAGAAAACTTGGTTAAAGTTGTTCGCGACGACGTCTTAGTCCAGCAAAATTGATGGTTGCAAAACCATCATTTCTATAGCATTTTAACAAAGCATAGTTTTGACTGCAGTTTGTGTGTGTTTTATTTTTTTTTAATCTGTCCGTCGCCACTGAATGTCTACGAACACGCGTTGCACGATATTGACGCCGATGACACGGGATACTAATCGCTCATTCAGCGATCATGGGCGATCGGCGATCTTCCTCGTGCTTCGGCTACACCGATGATATATCCTACCTGGCTCGAGAAAGGGGGAGGGTATTATATTTTCTTGAGATACCATTACGCGCGTCGATCACGGTGGTCCTGCTTGCCGATATCTTTACGGGATCATCGGCTTGTAATGCCTTCCTTTTCGTAGATTATTGACCAGTCAACGATGAGCCCGGTCGTGAAAATACACATCCTGCTCGACGTGCGAAAGTCTCGCATCCCTTTCTTAAAGGATTCGTTGATTCTATCGTATAACTTGGTCTCTCGTCACGGCTTACCCATCATTTATATCGACTCTTTTGTGTTTCAATTTTTTTCCGCGTATACACGTGTAAGGACACTTGTATACGCGATTTAATCCTTAAAAAATATTTTAATTGTAAATTTCTTATATCCGTTATTTATCGGTGACTATAAACAAAAATAGGATGTGTGTCTAGATGATCAATTTAAAAAAAACGGACCGAAAATACGATCCTTGCTTGTCACCGACACCTTCTCGCCGACACGATGACACACAGAGCGGTGGTGCTAGCGCGCTGTGCTCTTGTGCGGTCGACTTCCTCTTCCTGTGTCCGCATATATATCGGAAGTACGCAGTCAGGTGTTTTGTACCCCCGTCATTCGGTGCTCGCGATTACATTAGATATCTGATAGTCGGATGTGCGTTCATCATGGATAATCAATTCTGACATTTAAGATACGTATATTTTTTTAAAAGAAAACTTGCTGTTACATAATGTTTGTTGTATTGTGTGTGTGTGTGTGTATGTGTGTGTGTGCGCGCGTGTGTATGCGTCTTGTATAATATTTATTTTTGCTATTTATTTGGTCAAAGACACTTAAGGCTTCAGATTATATATAAAATAAGTTTTGTACAATTTACTAATTGAAATAAATCTTCTAAGCTATAATCCATCGGTGATAATAAATAACAATGGATTAAAAAATTATCCTAATTCTGTTGACGTTCTGATCATTTAGTGATTATCACTCAATCTATATAAATAAACCAAAATCACAGTTTGTTTATATTTTTTTAAAAAGTAATAATTGTGTATTTTATATGAGAGTGAAATAAAATAGTTGCTAAAAGTCTCATACACCTTAATAAATATAAAATATAAATATAAATTTAATAATATAAAATTCAAAACTGTAACACACATCGGTCGTCAACAGCTAAATATCATGTTAAAAAATCTTTGAGAATTCATATAGGAGATAAATTATTTATTTATAAACAAGATTATGTCAAAGAGAACAAGATTTATTTACAAAATAATGGATAAAATTAAGGTAGTTGTCAATCCTAAGAAGCCAAATATGAAATGAACACAGTCAAGAATAAAAATTGAAATGTCAAAATGTCAATGAAATTTGAACAATTATCGTGTTATTATCATCATTTTAAACTATGACTTAAGCAATTACCACCATTTTAAATTATGACTTATAAGGTTTGTTTTTAATTTGCATTTCTTCTTGGGAGCTTGTTTGTTGATTAATTACAAATTACTAAACTTCATATTAGGTTGCGAGAATAACAGCGAGAAGACGAAGAAAAAGACGAAGCATCGAGCGAGAGAATCGCGTAGATAGATCTCATGACACATCATGTATACAACCTGAGTATTGGCTTACATTTCCAGCCGATTGGGCCTGCGGTATTTACACAGGGCCTCGTAGAAAATCGCTTCCCCTTTTTCTCCAGAATGTATCATTTTGATCGACTGTGTAGCGGTTTTAATTTAAACCGCTTTGCCGATCGCGTTGATAAAACTGATAAAATTTTCTCGATTTAATGCGAAGTCTATCGCACCTGCATACACGCAAATTGCATACATGTGAAAATTTTATTTTCACAACCGAGTTCACGATTTTTCTCTTCTCACTTCCCCCCCGTTTCGCGACGATTATTGAGTCATCCCTTCTCCCTTTTCACTCTCGATTCGCGAATCCGTAGAATACTGGTACAGAAGTAGCGACAGGTACGATAACGAGATTGTTTCGTCGCGCACCTGTGTTTGCTCACAGCCGACATCAAAAAAGCGATTAACCACCATTGCAGATCGTGCAAACACGTGTTCAATCGCGCCCCCAAATTCTTTATCGTTCTTACCGCGCGGTGAGGACCACGTGCGTATTTGCGTGCGGTGTGTAATGCATATAACTTCAGATCCGAGAGAAAACAAAAATTCATCTCGCGTTGTTTACTTTAGGTCGCACAAATATATATAGACACGCAATGTATTAACAATCTTCAGGTGAGGTGTAAAAAAAATGTATTTGCATCAAGATTACTGTAGGCAAAATTACGTACACTTTTTTTGATATTTAGTTTTCATCGAATCGGTAACACGAGACAAGTTTTCGGCGACGATGAAAAGAAGAGACTTTAATTGTGAGCATCTGCCGCCGAAGAGCCGGCTAAGAAAATAAGTTGGGACTCCGTGAGGATTATTACACACGCGGTTGTAAACCGTTTCCTTCGGGATTAGAATGTGTGTATGTGTTCATCGTCCACCTTTCCCGATCCCGCCATAGACAGTTCGTTCGAATAGCCGATTGAATTACACAAGGCGCGTGCCAGCCGGCCGCACGCGGCTCGTACACGGTCATACCACGAGCGAAGATCATCATCTGAAGTGTTTTAACAAAACCACAATTCTCTCTATCTCGTCGAGAGAGATATTCGAGAAGCGATAAAAGAAATTTTTGAAGATCATAAAAAAAGCGGACTCGGAAGAGAAGAACGGAAGACTTTGCGCGCGCGTTTCAAAAGTCCGCCGTACACATTTTAGTAAGTTTTAATATTTTAACAAACTTAATCCTCCCCTAAAGTAAGAATTTTAAGAGTCAAACAATTCCTGAAATGACTTTCGTATATAATAGGTTTTTTAAATAAATTTTACCGAGGAAGAAAAATAAAAGGAGTTAGTTATTTATGCATATATATAAGAGATGCAAATTTTAAGCATTCGATATATGAATTTTCAAGTCGAATTATTATGTATAATATTATACGTTTAAAAAAATAAAAATTTCACGGCATTTGACTCTTTGACTCGCAATAATAATTTAGTTGTTTCAAAAAAAGCTTGAAAACGTATTTGCGCAAATTACGCTTGTTCGACGTTTAATTGAGTAATATCGGCGGAATATCGGCCGCAGTGAACGAAAGTCGGATATTTCTGGCTCTTGTGCACACCGCGAATTTAATTAAATAACTGTGATCGAAACGTTTATCGCAACCGTGCCGGGTATATAATCCGCAATCACTACGTTTGACAGAAGATAGCCTGCTATCTCATCAGAGGTGGAAGATCTTTAATCCTCGACTATTACCGTCGGTTCCTGTCATCTCCCGATGCGGTTTAATCATTCAATTGTGAATGACCGCAGCGTAACGCCGCGACTTACATGCGATGTAAAGAATACGGGGTGTCTCGGCTAATCTTTTATCTACGGTTTGTTTGATCTGAGAGCTTATTAGAGTAGGAAGATGTACAAGAGATATTGGAAATATATGTACTTTTTTATACACAGATTGCGCGTTACACGTGAACGACTTTGAAAATTGTATGTGTGTAAAATATATAAAATACAATAATTTGAAATTTGTTTATAGTATTATTTATGTATATTTCTCTAAAATGTGTGATTTTTAGATCATTTGAAATAAGATGTTTATTAATATATATATATATAGATTTCAATTTTTTCCCGTTTATCAAAACGAATATTAATTAATTCCATCATTTTTCACAATTTATCGCGATTCTGCTTGACGTCAGACCAACAATGCCGAATATTTTAAAGCATGTTAGTTCGCAAGAGAAAAAGACAGAGAGAGAGAGAGAGAGAGAGCAAGGAGAGATGGAGAAACACACAACAACCCCCAAGATGGCTGCTGCCGGTTCGAGAGAGTCGGCGTATCGACGTTTGGCGTTTGCAAGGTTTCCCGGAGGTAAGCTCATCGGGAATTGCAGGTCTTCCCACCCCTACCGCTGCCATCCCTAGCCACCATTCTCGTCACCCACCCTTGCTAACGTTTTGCCACCCTGCAGCCGCCTTCAAAACAAAGAAACACGCGTAATTGAATTTTTCCCCGGAACAAGCGCAATTAATACGCGAACCGCCGCCGCCGCCTCCGCCGCTGCCGCTGTCGCCGTTGCAGCTGCAATGACAATGTTGATGAAAATTTTTTCCAAAAGTTCGAACGAAGAAAGAGAATTTTTTTTATTTTAAGTTTATTTTTTGTTTTCTTGGAAATTATTTGCCGGAAAATTTCGAACTCAAGTACTAATTGTTGAATTTCAATTGCTCCGTTCAAAAGTTGTTTGAAAAAAATTCGAGTATCTTTTTTAAATTTATGTTACTTTTTATTTTATTTTTTAATATAAAAAAGATGAAACTTTTGAGTTTTAAATAATCGAAAAAGCTTATATTATTTGTGTAATTATTTTATATTTACGTACGAACACACACACACACGTCAGAAGAGGAGAGGGGAAAATAAATTTACATCATATTTTGCAACGTTCACGTAATTTTTATTTTTATATAAAAGACATCTCTGAACAGGTTAATTCTTTCAGAAAAACACTTGATCACAATCGATAGTACATCAGTTGTAAAACGACTAACGCGACATTGGTTTTACTAATGTTACATAACAGATTTATATACTCGATGAATAAATGTTTTTCAAAATAGATTTCCAACAATTTTTCTTCAAAAAATAGTTATTCCGTATATCACACTTACACGTTCGCGTGCATTTTATGTAAGTTTTTTTTTTTTATAATAAGATACTAAAACCTCTTTCTCACACATTTTATATTTAAAGCACGTTTATAAATAGAAAACCAACTTACAAAAAAGCAGTCGATAAAGTTTGCGGCACACGATGTTTCGTTTTGCTAGATCAAACGCGACAATTTGACAAAATCTTTTTTTTTTTGAGAAAATCTTTGATTTTCCAAATCCATGATTGGTCAGTTCCGGCGTTCGCGCTTGAGTCTTTTGAGAAATTGCGATATGTTGTTTTTTTTTAAGGCATATAAATGTGACGTGTGTCGTCTTTATCCGTTAAAAAAAAGAGACAAAAATATAAAAAAAGTTACTTTGTACAGCTCTTGCAATCCTAAAAATATATATATGTACACTTTTTCATGTATATCACCGTAAAATACTTGTTTGCCCGAGAATCTCATATCCATTTCATATTTTATATATACGATAGAAACTACAGATTGCCATACCTCACACATACGAAATAGATATGATATTTAATAGATGTGTTTATTTTGTGTTTACGTGTAGAAAATAATATTCTATAGATTATAATTTTTTCAACTGATTCCCACGTAGGTGTTTTCAGGATGGATGTCACGCAGTTCCTGCAAAAAAAAAACCTAAATATAGTAGATCGAAGTTAAAAAAGTGAGTGAACACGCAGCATATATGAAGCATTTTTACGCACGTGCAGCATTTTATAGTGACTGGTCTTTGCTTCTTCCAGTTGCGTTGATTTCTTCTTCACTTCGCCGTTCAACGTCACCGACAATCCGTCCTTGTCGAGCGGTCCGAAGGTCCATCCGCCCTCGCCGTCGAATTTCAGCAGTAACTTGTGATACTTGGCGAGCGACGCCACTCGATGAGTGATGGTCAATAGAGTAATTCCCTTCTTCTTCGCGGTTTCGTAGATTATTCCCTCAGCCTCGAGACTTACGGCGCTCGTGCATTCGTCCAACAGAGCGTACTGCGGAGCGTGATAGAAGAGTCTCGTCATCGCGAGCCGCTGTTTCTCGCCACCCGACAAAGTGGAATTCCAGTCGCCGAGGGCGTCGAAACCTTCCGGTTCTCTCTCCACGAGACTCCGCAGATCCACGTCGTCAAGTAACCGTAATAGGTCCTCGTCCGAACAGTTCTCTGTACTATTGCAACGACGTAATGTTAAAAAGTACATAAAAAAATATTTTAATTTTTAAAATATATTTTTTTCAGATACTTTTCTTAATACTTTTTTAATTTTTAATATATTTCATATTTAGTGTAAAAAATATTTCACACGCTTGATTTTTATTGCAATTTTTGTTTTATTCCAATAAAACTTGTTCATTTTTGTGATCGATCGTTTTGTAATTACGGACCTGGAATGCGCCGGATAGATGATTTGGTCCCGAAGACATCCCACACTCATGTAAGGTTTCTGCGGGATATAAAACAGAGTGGGTCTGCCGTGTTCTTTCTCGGCCGGTCTGATAAGAGTGCCGTCGTAGACGGGCCAGAGACCGGAGATGATGCGAAAGAGAGAGCTCTTGCCGCAACCATTGGGTCCCGTAATTAGAACATGATCGCCTGGTTTTATCTAAAAAATTTAAGAAAAATTATAAAATATCTTCCTCGCGCGATTTTAAACGGCGAAAGATAATTGCGAATGCGTAAATTTCGTTTTAATCTGCGCTACACTTACGTCGACCGTTAAACTGGGCACGATAATTTCGCAATTGGGCGTGACTATCGGCACGTTAATTAGATTTATACTGCCGTCCGTGCTTTCGCGAACAATTCCTGTAAAGATTACACAATAATAATAATTTTATATACCGCGTGGAGAGACAACGAAGCAAAAACTTTGTACTTAAACTTCTTTATGTATTTTACCTTTTATTACCGGAGTGCCATTGTTAAATTCAATTATTTTCTCTATCGCTTGTTGAGCGTTGCCGTTCAAGAAAGATTTCGGCGATGAGCTGTTGACGACGTTTCTTTTGTATTTGCAGAGCGCAGCATCCTTAAACACGTCGAACATTTCGCTGACCCGTGCCGCGTATCCCGCCAGCGCGACCAGTTCCTGTTTCAATGAAAATAATTTGTTACAAAAAGAATTCTGAAATAATGTGAATTTAATAACAGTGTAGAAGTAGTGAAACTTTTGTGCGCACTTTGTAAGAGGACATCAGTCGTTCAACGGCGTCCGCTCCGGAACTCAAGAGATTTTTCGAAGTGGTCAGGTATCTCGTTCGTTCGCTCACGCCGTCTATTTAGCGAATAAAAATAAAAAAAAAACAATATTAATGTCACAATTTCTTTTTGTCTCAATAATGCGACAAACTGCACGCACCGTCGTTATTCATATTGATCGTCTTTTCGGACGTTGCGGCGGCGTTGTAGAGCACCGGCATGGCGATAACGAGAAGTCCGGTTCCGGACCACACGTACTTCATCAGAAATTGCTCCAGCATCACGTACCACAGTTTAACAGTGAGGATGCGTTGCAGATGCCTCTCCAGAGACTTGTAGGAGGACTTCAGGTAACGATGTTCGGTATCGTGTCCCCCGTAGAATGCAATTTCTTCGGCGTGAGCGCTGATACGAGCGTGAGCCTCCCTCAGCCTGCCGCGTCGTGCCGCTTCCTCGGCAACTAAGTGGCCGAATTTCGGTGAAGCAAAACGTAAAACTTGTCCGGTTACAGCGATTACCGCTGCTGTTAACAGTGGTCCTGCGTAAATAACGGAATATATTAATTTTTTTCTCATATATATATATATATATATATATATATATAATATTTATATTATAATTTATATTATAATATATATTTATATTATATGTTATATAAAAAATAGTGATTTAACGATAACGAAAATTTATATATTTTATATACATATATATATATATATATATATATATATATATATATATATGTTATTATCGTTAAATCACTATTTTTTAGTGATATTATATATATATATATATTATAATAGAAATATTTATTGTAATATATATTATATAAATATATGTTATATGTTATTACCTGGTATTGTTCTCGCGCCCATTTTATACGAGAATGAAACGAGCGCGAGGCCAATTAAAGCGCAGTCCAGCAGAGGTTTAGTTAAACTAGAATACAAGTGCGCTACAGAACCGGCTAGCTCGGACAAGTCATCTGTCAGTCTTTGCTCAAGACCATCGAGCCTCGTGTCTAATGCTGATATCCTATAATAAGTCTGCTGGCTCAGGTACATCTTGTAGGCGTGCTTCACCAGACGTTCTCTGCACGACAATTAATAAAAGACAATTACAGTAAGAGATCCCGGAATTTCATTGATAGTACTTAAACATTCTTAAACCGATCTTACATCCAGAATCTTCGTTTCTCTTAACTTGACTTTTATGGACGTAGCCACTAAAACGGTTCGCATTTTAAGACGATATGTATGAAATGGAATATAATAAATAAGCTAGGAATAAATAATAAATAAGGTAGGAGTAAAAAAGATCGAACTACCTGAACAGCACAGAAAAGTCAGCAAATATGTTAAAAACATCTTAAAAAACAAAAAGACGTTTCTAAGTCGTCTTTTAGTCGTTTTTTTGTTTTTTAAAGACGTGTTATCTTTATGAATACGAAGGTCGCAAATTTCGCGCGTAACGAGTAATTTGAGGCATCAACTTGTTTTTTTTTTTTTTTATTCTTACTAAATGCAAATGAAGAGAAGAATATTTTAAAACCCAAGAGAGGAGACGAGTCGAATGAATTCGTTTGCAAAAAACTTGCCGAAATGAGTTGTTCCGAGCGATCGTGTCACGCGGGTTTCGATTTTTGTTAATCCATACTTAGCGAGTGAGTAGCCGTTGCATATAATTTGTTTTGTAAATAGTAAAAAAGAATCTGTTTGTGTAAAGTTGTTTGCTGCGCATAAAAAAAATTGTATTTGATCTTGAGCATTTCATGGTCTGATAAATCTGGTTTTCTTACATCTGTTTTTTTTTTTTTTTTTATATCTGCGCTCTTTGAAAAACATCTGCTCTGCTTGTAAAACATATGTGCGCAATGGTCTACGTATCAACAACGGAGATCATTTCAATAGAAAGTCTATTTTATTTACAAGGACGAAACATTATTAATGGGAGCGAGATATAATTTACATGTATATTTTCATAATGAACAATTATTTCTCACTTGGGAGAACTCACTGCGATGACAAATATAATATGTTTATGTAACATCCCGAGTCAAAATTTAGCGTCTACATTGAACTTCAAATAAATATAAATTTATTTTATTGAATTTTTGATAAACTTTTTTTTTTCACAAAATAGATAACGTTTTGTAAATATATGCAATACTCGCTCGTAATGTAAACAACACAGTGTGAGATATTAACAAGAGGTCAAATCGAGCAATATAAAAGATTTTAACGATACAATTACAGTCAATTTGTTCACTTCCAGATAAGTTTTCGATAACTTTATCTAGAAGCTATCTCCCACAATTGGTTCTCCTTATTGGTTCTCAGAGGAATTTATCCAGAGGATAGCTATATCGAGAGGTATGAAGAAATCAGCCGTTAGAATGTAACGAAACTGTCGAAAAAAAACACAAAAATAATAATTATTAACACCGAGGAAGATTCAACTTCGAAAAGTTTGTAACTTTTTTGTATTTTTCGACAGTTTCGTTACATTCTAATTATGTCGTTAAAATTTTTTCTATTGCTCCACTTGACCTTGTTAATATCTCACACTTTGTTAGATAAATTTTTTCTTCGTATGTTTTAAAGTAAATTAGGAATAAATTAAGATCGCATGAATCATATCGTTGAAAATTATCGTGAAATTAATTTTACATGTATCAGTTTGCACATGACGCAGCATTCTCGTATAAACTTCTGACAAACGTTCATTAGAATGTCACAAGGAAGCGCACTAATGAACGCCTAGTGGACGTTATGTCTGTCTGGAAGAAAAATCGCTTTTTTTTTTTGTGCATTTTTTTGTGCAACGGAAAGAAAATCCGAAAAATACTAATATCGTGATAAATTCAAGATAATCGCAATTTTACGAAGATGAGAACGTGAACGATTTAAATACATGTTAATTGAATACGTGTAGTGGGGTTTAAAGCGCTTTGACATTATTACGAGTTCAATTCTCGACGCAACAGGTACAAGAATACACGCCTTACGCCATTATACTGTTGCATCATTAGTGACGGATTTAGATGTTCGCGGACCCTGAGCGAGAAATCCGGTATCAATGGATTCTCTCAATTACAATAGAAAGATAAATGCTAATTTAAACCTGGACACAGATGTCAGCACCTGTCGATTAATATGCGACATTCTATCTGACTTTGATAATAAAAATTTAATTAATTGTTAATGACGTAAATTTCAATTGTATTGCTTGATTTTGTTATTATTATTGCTTAATCTGTTGTGCTCGAAAAGCAAATTGCAACGTCTGATGAGTCAAAAGGTTATCGCGTTTGTCTTCCTGTATATGATATGACGATGAACTCTAAACTAAATATTTTTTCAGCAAACAAGTCTGTGCCATTTTAACTCATAAGTTTTGTTCTCTTTTATTTTTTCGTTTTTTAAAACTCAAAGATAAAATAAAATTGATGTAATGCAAAAAGTCAAACATGTGAAAATCTCACATTTAAAAAATGAAAAAACACCCGGCATGAGAAAACACACGCTGCGCTCTGCAAAAAAAAGATCATATCGCGTTTGCAAGCGTTTACTACATATTCGATTGTCGTTTAAATAGGAATCGGAGCGCACACAAGATGCTGCTTTCGCGCAGCCGAACCTCCACGCTTCAATTACGTGCGTTTTCTCGCACTTGTGTGTTCCACACGAAGGAAGACGTCCAACTCAGGAACGTACCTAAAGCTAAGCGCCAGCCGGCCCTCGAGGTATCTGATAGCGGAGTTGACGAAGGTGGCGGGCATCGCGATGGCGAACCATCGCGCGAGCATCAGTCCGAAACCGCGCACGTCGCGCAACACGATCCTCTTCACAATCTGACCCTCAAGCTCGGCCACGTACACAGACAGGAAAGTTCTCGTCAACAAAGTCAGCGTCGCGCAAGCGAGCAGACCAGCTTCTCGGCTGCGCCATCCCGGCACCATGATCCTCAACAAGTTGATCAGTTGTCGCAAAAAGTTGCGATCCAATCCAACGGACGATTTCTGATTCCTGCCGTTGTTCCCGGCGAAGTCGCCGTCGCCGGGAAGACAAGCCGGCGAGATGGCATCATTTTTGTCACACTTGAAGCGTGACTCACTGTCTTTCCTCGAGATTTCCTGGAGCTGTTTCAGACGGGTGACAACGTGCGGATAGGCGAGCTTGAAGATATAGAGCGCGGTGGCAACGCCGGCGATGCCGCGTGTCAGCGTGTCCTGTCGCACCCCGTAGCGCGCGGACACGCTGTCAATCAGCTTCGAGAACACCGACGACATCCTCTTCTCCTTCGTGTCTTCGTGCGCGATTAAATACTCGGAGTATTTTTAATTGCGCGCATCTCGCGCTATTCCCGGAATCACGATGACGGTGGCGATAACGGTGCATCTACGAGACTCCGTCGGGTCTCTTCCTCTCACGCGCGAGAGTCCACGTTGCTTCCTTTACGAAGCAAATAAGCCGCGCGTTTATTGACGATCCGATCGCACACGTGACCGAGGGAAACGGATTTAATACAACCGTCCAACCAGGCCACCAGCTGGCGACTGACTCTTGCTCGCTCGCATCGAACTCGACTACGGTATATAATCCCCCGTTACGTCTCTCGGCCTAGCTTCCACGCGGCTTTTCTCACGCACGTATCACGCCGACTGACTGCCGACAGTTACTTCGCTCGTGCCCTGTTCTAATATAATGTGAGCTTACTTTCTTATTTATGTCTAACTACATGCAGTTGCTAGTCCAAATTCGGCAAAATAATAATAATAATAATAATAAAGCGCGTGGACACGCACGTGGATTGGCGTTTTCTTGAGTCGCGAATTTTTTAAACGTTCTGAAGAATTATTTGAAGAAAAATAACTTGAGAAAGGAACACTTTTTGACGATTGAGAGAAAAGGTACAACAGCGAGCACTGACTTCGTAAAAAAATTAATCAATTAAATTGAACATAAATTAAACGAGCAAAACGTTAACAAAGCGAGAAAGTAAGCTTTCTTTATTGACATACACCGACCGGCACTGAATCGTCCGACGCGAGGAAACAAAGATCCCCCTTCTATGCGTCCGTTGTTCTATTTCAGACAACGTCGATCGCCAACATTTATGGTCAAACCGACGCTTAGAAGAGGAACTTCCTTCCCCTCTAGCGGAACGATTCAGTGCCGGTCAGTGTACTTGGTTCTTGTTTAACCGCAACGAGTGTTGTAGATAGACGATAAGTTTATCACACTAGCATCAAGGTCAACGCTCCGTTCCGATTCTCGTATGGTACTTTTCAGAACTGCATCTTTTTTTTCCCGGCTTATCTGCATTTTGCCAGTTACAGAGTTTCGTGCAAAACTCTGATTCGAACGAACACGTGAAATATGTTATAATTTTATTATCGAGAAAATAGTTACAGCACGCGTATAAATATTTATTTACACTTTTCTGTACTACATTAGATATTGCAATATATAAAACAAAACTTGCATTCTAAATATTGTAATATTATAAATCGTGTCACTAAAAGTGTTCGAGCCGTTGCTATGACTGAACAACAACGTCTGCGTTATTATCTAACGAGTTACACTTTGACCTATTTTATCAGCATTAAAAGTGACGATCAATGTCTAAATGAGATAAAAAAAAGTCGCCTGTCATGGTCTTCTGTTATTTTTCTGTGAATTGAAATCTTCTTTATAAATCTCTTTAAAAGGCAAAAGAACAATTTGCAAACCAAATTGAAGAAACACATAAAAAACAAAGAGGCAAACAGGAAAATCTATTGTCTGCAATTTTTATTATTTAAATATGATATTATTTATTATTTAAATATGATATTTTATGATATTTTATTTTTTTTATTGTCTCATTTTTTTAAAAATAGATGATACAACATAAAAAAACAGGCAATAAGAAATTTATTGTCATCTGTTATTTTTGTTTTATTGTTTTATTCAGCATTTAGCTGAAGAGAACGTTCTGCGGAACTCTTCGTGGATACATCATGGTGCAATAAAGAGTAATAATAACGCAACAAAGAGTAATAAATTCCAATAAAGAGTAATAATAACGCAATACACACTCGCCAGTTTCAAAAATAGGTACGAATGCGGTGTATGAAATATGTACGTGCGTATTTCCAGAAATGGCAGTACGTGAAAGAGAGAGAGATTGCAGACCGAAGTTAATAGCACGATCGGCAGATTGAGCAATGAGATAATTTAAGCGAGACTCGGCTACTTCACTCAGATTTTTCCCATAATTATTTTTGCGAGTAACGTGACATTATGCTGACTTTAGTGGTTCTAGTAGATTGAGCAGAGTCGTAATATGACAGTGTTGTTGAAATTCCAAGAAGTTTGTGGCGTACGCAACGTCAGTATGAATCACATATCTTTTTAAAAACTAGCGCAATTTGTTTGAATTGCGAGCTGTTTAAAAAAAAAAAAAATGCTTAAACCGACTAACTAAATACGAATAAATTAGAATTAAATTAATAAAATTCGTCAATTTACTTTTATTCGAGAACTAAATGGAAACGTTTTTAATGTTATATTTTATTATTGTTTTTGCTCGCACGCGCCTCGATATTCACAAAATATTTATGTGAAATAACTGTAAAATTTTGAAAAAGAATCGTCGAAAATTATTGTTTTTAATAAATAGATAACATCACGCGCGCGATAACTGCGCACTTGTGAATATGTTCAACAGATATCTATTTAAGTAACAACGCGTGCGCGATAACGCGTCTGTTTTTAGTACAACATTTTGTGTGTATGTAATTTTCTACAAAAACTACGTACATTCGTATAATCGGAAAGCCGAAAGAGATTTGAAAAGCAGCCGCAACTAAGTGCTCCATGAAAAACGTCACGCGAACTTTACGTGTAAAAAGAAGCGAGTTTTGCAATATCCGAATTCCCTTTCAATTTTCTTTCCGTTGGCTGGTTTCTGTAAAGTTCTCGAAAAAAAAGATGAAAAATTCATTTCTTTCGTTTTAATGAAACACGAAACCACGATGTTATCTGCGTACTAATAACAATTCTCGAATTGATTTAACCAGCATTCAATTCTGCGTTATTAATTGTATAATCTGTATTTTGCAAATAACAGATATATGCTAATATATATACTAATTTGACGCTTGACGATTAAATGTCGGAATTCTCGGAGCACAAAAGACAAGCGTCACGCAGAAATTATCGCGTGACTCATATCGCGCGCTCACGTTTTTTAGTCATTGATAGAACTGACAAAAAATTAATAAACAATACGATCATATTGTAACACACAATTTATATTATACACAAATTTAAAGAAGATTTTCTAAAGAATTAATTTTTCTCAAAGAATCAGCGTTTGAAAATGTCAATATTTGTTCGTTGTTCGGTTAAGATGAATCGAACGAGAAACTGTCGATACTTCAATTTTGAACTGATCAAGAGAAATTAGTTGCTTGTGCCAAATTCGAAATTAAGATTTAATTCTGCGTTTAAGATTTAATTCAGAGACGGAAATTCGTTCCGCACTCGATCGCAGTCACACACTGCTCGATGATGAACAAGGTATAATTATCGATTGTATAAATTATCTGCAATAAAAAATTACATATACTTTTTAAACAACCTTTGCGCGCGTAATATTTGAACCTTGGAATGAATCTTTATCTCGTTAAATACAGCGTATCAATATTGGCACTTAAGTATAATTATAAGTCGTTGTTGTTTAATACTTCCAGAAGAAGTTCACATGTATCGTAAATTAATTTTTATATGTTCTTTTTTGTAAGAGTTTTAGCTGCAACACGCAATAACTATTATGGAGTTATGTTTTGAAATTTGCATATAATTGCCATGGGAACGCTCTTTGTGCATCGTTGCTATATTATATCGTCACTCCCTACGTATAATCCCGTAACTCCAAAACGCAAATTTTAGAGGAGAGCAGTTTAAAAGCTTAAAGCAGCTTAAAGCTTCATATAGTTTCTCTAGTTAAGGGATTTTTCGGTTTTAAATTTTTACCTTACTTATGAATATTTTTTTTTTAATATTTGGTGACCATAAAGAACATGACTTTCTAAGTGTCACTATGCAATAAACTGAGAAAATCCCGTATGTGACACTTATGTAATTATAAACGTAAGAGATGACGATATTAGAATTCAACATAGTAATATGTCACACTAGTCGCACGGTATTATTGGCTTTTATTAACATAAGTGATTATTAACATAATAATTGCGTAGCTATCGTATTAGCATGATAACGCAATAAAAAACATGCAGATGAAGAAACGATTTATTTCAAAGATCAAAATTCTCGTCACAGGTTTGTGATGCACCGCGCGATGCAAATAAGTTGTCTCTCTTTGAAGATAATATTAATAATAATTGTGTTTTTTAAATATATTTTTGACGTAAATGTATATTCTTTCTCGAACAAAACTTGTCTTTGTCGTAGAAATGATCGAAAAAATAGCGAGCAAAATAAAATCGCGTCTCAACACAAATCGGAAATGGAAATTTAACGAAAGGCGGGAGATGTGCTACGCAGATCTCGAGATCTAAAGAAACGTCGGGGAAAGCAGAAGCGAGAAAGTAAGAGTACGACGCAGTCGTAGGTTGATTTCTTTGGCCGTCACTTTCATTCTCCGTTCGGTCTTTAAAAGATGAAGTCTGAATTTGTTTCTGCTTTCCGATTACAGAAATCTGATTAATGACTCACTTGATCATTTTCTTATGAAGATAACAAAGAAACGATATAAGTAATTGTCATATTTACGTTAGCAGTTTTTGCAGAAATAAAGTAAATATAATTTATGTATTTTTTTGCTACAGTTTAAAAAAAAGTCAGGATTAAACTGTCAGTTTAAAGGTTAAGGATTAAGATTGATACTTTTTAATGTTATTGACAAAGTGTTGGTTTTACTTGTATATTCATAAAATAAAAAGAGTGAGAGAGAACGGCTTGATTGAATTTGTCGACGATCTTTGTACAGACATGCGTATGTTAGAAAAATCTAAATTGGTTATGAAGCAATTTCGTAACAGCATTTAAAAATGCAGATTAAAATTCTCTTCGATACATTTATTTATTCTATTGCAGATTTCTTAGTTTGAGCGAGCGCAAATAATTGAATATTTATGCTCAATTTATGTTGAAGTAAAAAATCAATGATCATCTTTTGTTACATAAAACACTCGCTTGTAATCTTTTTCATCGACAGTTTCGCGCGCGACAGCTTTCGAGCGAAAGTATCACACACACATGCGATTTCTTATTTACGTTTTACTTTCGTATAAAAAGATTCGAAAATGTTGTCAAATGTACACATTTAATTTCAAAGTGCAGTTTGTTTGTTTTTTTTTTTTTGTGCCGTTTAATTGATCTTAATTTGAGTATATTTTTGTCTATTGCTACAATTGTACGATGTGAACGTTGCGGCAACACAACGCGGCCTTTCACAAATCCTCTAAAATCCACTTCTTATACGAAAAAACTACATGTAATCATATTATTCGTATCGCGATTTCTCCGCGTTCGGAAATCACGTTACGTAAATTGCCACACTTTGTCGCTTTTTTTCTTTTTATTTCTTTTTACTCTTGAGAATGTTATGTTGCTGAAACTTTTACTCGACAAAGTAGGTGATACTTTCATTGTCACTGTCATTCTCCTCCCTCCCTCTCTCTCTCTCTCTCTCTTTCTATTATACAATATTTGCACTGTCAATACGTTCTTTAAATAAGTTCTTTAAATAGGTTCTTTAAATAGGTTCTTTAAATAAGTTCTTTAAATAGTAATAATTGCGATTGACAGCAGTAACGAGAACATCTTTAACATTGTGAAGCAGACTTTTGGCAATGTAAATTAGAATTTAAAGAACTTTAACTATATGAGTTTTGGATCGACGAAAAAAAAATATATCAACATGTGAAGTCACACGTTTTTCACATGAATAATTCGATTCGTGGTGATTCCCTTCAAAAATGCAGTTGTCTAAATATCTCTAAATTAATTACATTCTCAAAATTAAATATATACATATTTGTTTAAAAAAATTCACAAAAAATAAAGCTTTTTTCGAAATATTTTGTATTCTATGTTCTACAAATGAGAGATCACAGCATTTCTTACAATACATACAGATATACATATTTTTATACTTATCGTTAAAAAATGTTTGTGTATACATTTATACACATAGTGACTCAAAAATAATGCTTCACGATTTGGTCTGTTTTGGCAATTCGTATCAATACGAATCACGCGAGTCTGATTCTAGTGCAGTTTTTCTTATCAATTTCATGATTTTGTAATTATTTTATGATCGGCGTAAAACGATTATGTGAATAATCTCAGATTTTTATTCAAGAAAAAGAGAATGAAGCGTGACGCATGAAGAAGCCTTGTAACTTGTTGCTAAAGTAAATAATTATAACTTGCTCTTGCACGCAGAGAGTTAACAAAATAGAGTTTCTATAATTTTTATCCTTGTTTTTAACAATAAAGAAATACCGTTATATTTGAAAATTTGTGATATACATTTGTAGTGTTTTATAGGTTTCTTTTATATCGCAAATATTTAATTATCTTCACACACTAGCGCGCGCGCGCGCACATTAGCATGAAAAACCAATAGTAAAATATTAAAATTACATTCAGCAAAAAATGATATTCATGAGATTTTTATCACACGCTTATCACACTTTTATCACACTTTTAATTATAGGATAGAATGAAATACGTGTGTTTGCTCTAGAAGTTTTCTCGTAAAACTGAGCTCTCACACACTTCCAGCTTTGTTAAAAAAAAGAAAAAAAAACAATCTAGATTTCAGATACAAGTAACTCTCGTATAACGCGGTACTTAAATAACGCGATTTCGATATAACGCGGTTCACTCAAAATTGTTTTCAATATGCGCGCTTATGTATGACATTTTATAACAATTTGTAAACCGCGTTATATTGAAATCGCTTTGTTTATGTATCGCGTTATACGCGAGGGTTACCTGTATTTTAAAGTTCATAAGAACGGGAGAGGGATATAAAATATCGCTCGAACAAAAATTTGACGCACAATTTCCAGACAAACAATACAATGAAATTGTATAAATTTTCATGAATTAAAAATTTGTTGTTAAAATTACAATGACTACAAAATCTGTAAAAAAATCTGAACTAAAAGAAAAGAAAGAAGCGTTTAAGAGAATCTTTTAGAGATGACGTCTTGATCACAAATAGGTCTTTAAACTTGTTCTACGTATTAATAAATTATATATATATATATATATATATATATATAAAAGCAATTCCGTCCTGATTTATTGTTTTGGTCTTGATATTTCTACCGATTTATATGTTAATTTCTTCTACCTACGACACAAAAATATATTGTATGATAGAAACAGAAGATAGATATATAAATAATTAAATTAAACCGGTACTACATTTACATACCTTATAAACAAGTCGTTCGTACTCTGTTTTTTGGTTTTTAACACAGCCGAAGTATTTGACGATTGCAGTACTATCATGTAGCTTGTCGGTAGCTCGGCGAACAATGACCTATGTGAAATGGATGGTGACAGGTAAAGGTCTCGTTGTTGCGCAACGAGGATAATTTGGAGGACATCTTTTCTCGCTCGGACATTCTAAAGACGAGAATTAATTACATATGTGTACGTAAACTTACATAAATTTATAATACATAAATTTTTTTCTTTTTCTCTCATCAACTAAAAATATAATTGCAAATTACGAAGACACCCACACATACCCTTTCAGCTCCACCTCCTCGCTAAGGCGAACGGGAGATTTGAAGCGCGCGTCGTCGTGCGGATACGAAGGTAAGGCTTCCAGTATCCTCGGCGGAGGTTTCTTCGTGGTGTTCACGAAGGAATTGTAAATTGGTTTTGGTTGTGCGTTATTAATCCAACCTCCGCGCAACGCCGACTTACGCAAATTATTCGGACTGTACCCGCTGTCGCCGAACACCGGCGCGCTGCTCTGCAGATTCAACGCGTTCAGTTGCAGGTAGCCGCTGCTGCTCGCGAGCGGAATCGAATCCTCCGAGCCGCCGGATCTGCTCAGCCGATTTCCCGGCTCTGGGAACACACGGAGATAGATATTCCGTGTCACACGGAAGATCTGTACAATATTCTATATGCAATGTATATAATTACCGAATGTTTTTGCTTCCCTCGCGTGCGCCAGAAGAGTGTCCACTCTGCTTCTTCGGAAATAAGTGTCCACAACATCCCAACCATATGTTTTTTCTTTATTACCGTCTTCCTCGTCGTCCTGGCTGCTCTTATCGTCGTCGTTAGTGTCACCGTTATTACTGTTATTATTGAGATCCGCTTTGGAGGAAACGCCGGCGGTGTAAAGAACGTCCGCTCGCTGCATAGGAGCAGCCGGGGGCAGGGGTATGTGAGGTGAAACATCCGGCAATCGCCACCGACCCAACTCGTCGCACCAAGTGGCCGCTGATCGCACCGTCTCCATATCTCGAAAAGGACAACCCGGACGAAGATAGGGCACCATGAGATCGCATATTTGAGACGTTAGTAATTCGCGTCGAAGAAGATCGCGACGCTCGGCGTCCCACGACGCCTGGAGATCCGCCGCCTCCGCTTCCAGTTGCTTCACTCGTTTGGCCATTCTCTTCAACGCGTCCTCTGTCGACCTGTTAATGCAAATATGTCACCAAATATAATCGTAAATATAAAACAATTTAAGAAAAATAATAAGACTGCCGAAGATGTACGTCTGAAGTATATATATGTCTGAACTATATATATATATATATAGTAAAAAAAATATGTATGTCGCACATACATCCAGCGTTTGGCTCTTACTGGCATTATTTTTTTCTCAAAATAGTTGAATACTAAAAGAGCCTCGTACGATCTGTATAATTTATACATTTATTATAAATATGAAAATTTATAGCAGTTACAAAAATATACAAAGAATCTCGACGAACCTTAATTGGCCATAAACTTGGAAGACACTACCGTTGGCGTCGTTAGCTTCGAGCGCTCCCACCAGAGCTTCCAGTCTCTTTCTTCTTTTTTCTCTTCTCTTCTTCAGTTCGTCATTGTCTATCGCCTCTCCGCCAATTGTCAGTTTTCCCAACTTTTTTAATACGTCCTGCAGAGCAGCTTCTCTTTTCTTTCTTCTTCTCTCCTCTCGTTCCTTGTCTAATTCATCCATTTCTGGAATGAGATGTCCGGTTTTGTCAACGTTATTTGTCACATTTAATCCCGATTCGTAGCGAGACTTCAAAAATTCCAGCTCCTCCTTCAGTTTCTGGGCGGACAGGTTCGAGCTCTCGCACTCTCTCCTCAGTTTCTCCACCTTTTTACATAATTTTCTTTTATATTTTTTTAATTTTATTATTTACCATTATAAAATATTTGCACTAGAGTATCAAGTCACCTCTTCGGCGTATTGTGTTTGTCTCAAATCGTCCCTTTCGTCGTCTTTTTGAAAGTCGAAACCGATGCTCGACTGATCGCTAGAATTCAGCAACTTCCTCAAACGTTGAAGTTCCAATTGATACTGTCTGAGAAGAGCGTCCTTGGGATCTTCATTGACGATCGGCTTGTTTTTGATGCAACGAGCTCTGGCGGCGTAGCGCAGGGTGCTGAGAGTTTCCTCGGCATCGATGTCACTCGGGCTCACGCAGGCGATCATCAAAGTCCTGGCGTTTCCGCCCAGACTGTCGCGCAACAGTCTCGTCAATTTGCTATCTCTGAAACATTGCGTTACCTTTATTTTATTATTTCACGGTATCATCAATTTATGTTATCTTACAGATTCATACGCGTCTTGCGTCTACCTATAAGGAACATGTCTTCCATTTCCCGCAGCCAACGCGCTGATAACGTTCCCCAACGCCGACAGGCTAAGATTAATGCTGGCGGCTTCTTTCAAACGATCACCCGTGGCCCCGGTCCTAGTCTGTCTCTCAGATCCAGCAAGATCGACCAAATGCAGTCGACCTCTTCTGATGGCATTGCCGCGCTTGTCGTCGTCATTGATGGCCAGTGCCTCGAGCGACAACGTCAAGACCGCGTGACTCCTCGAACTGGCGGCGTTCATCTTCGTCGCGGCCGCGGCTCTTTTCTGATCACCCTGTTGGACCAGGACCACGCATTCGGCCGCGTCTTTGACAGTGACCTCGCGCAAACCCCCCGCAACGTAAGTGCCCCGCGTAGGATCTTCCTTCAGAGTCAGAGTTTCGCCGGTATCGTCTTGCAGCAGATCACGCAGACGTTCGTTGTAAATTTCGAGGTAGCTCAGCAACGCTAAATATCTGACGTTACCAGATACATTACACAGAACACAGAAATTAAGAAAATAGTAAACATAGAAAAAATACATATAAATCAAATAAAAAATAAATATAATAGAAAATATAAAATAGGAAATATAATAAATATATAAATAATCTCTAATATGTGTAATGAAGTACAAAAAACATGAAAAAATCGGAAAACATTGAGGCGAGAACAACCTCGTCTCGGAACTAGAAGTGGAAGTCGCTTCGAACAGATGTTCTAACGCTCGTTCAATGAATCCTCGCATGGTGAAGGATTTCCCGCAGCCGGTTTGCCCGTAGGCGAACACGGTGCCGTTATAACCCTCCAGAACGGCCTCGACAATGACCGATCCCACATTCTCGTACACCGATTCCGTTGTCGCGGACGGGCTGAACGTGGCGTCGAATTGATAAACCTTTCCATTTCCGCCGGCGGTGTTTTCCAAAGTGCAGGATTTTGTCAGCGGATCGATCGTCACGACGTTCTGCGACAAACAAGTCCGGGAAAAGCACACGATAAGAATCGTTAAAATAGTACGATCAATATTTTCTAGTTTTTTACGACGCGACGGATCTTAAAATTTTTAACTTGCGGTTTCGTGAAAATATACATATATATATGAATGTTATGCAGATTTGAACAGAAGAGTCACGCACGTAAAAAAAAAAAAAAAAAAAAAAACAATTTATATGTAGGTAATACTTACGTATAATGTATGTACAAGTATAAAACCTCACGTGTGCTTTAGCGATATATGTGATATCGAGTCGAAACTTATTTGCGTGTAAAACGATAGAAAATGAGAAGAAATATGCGCTCGATAATCGGACAGACGGAATTACTGCAATTTGCAAGTGCGATAAAATCTGCGGAAAAAGAATTCCGAGCAAAAATATTATCGGAATGCAAAATATTATATCCGCGAAACTAACGTTTGCATTGCACTTTTTTAAATTAAATAATGAAAAAAATATAAGAGAAAATAGCGCGCGCGCGAACGTGAATTTTCACAATTTCCAAGAAAGTGGCGCATTGATTTTCATTGACAAAAGGTAAACGCGCGTTTAACTGTCGGTTAGGATAGTTGCCTATTGACATATTACCCTCTTTCGTCAGAATGGAATTCTTTTCGTTGATACACGTAGCGCAGTTATAGCTAAATGCTGTAGGTGAATTATGGTAAAACGCGGATTACGTATGTCGATGCATAAACTATTTAACGATTCACGAGGACAAGTATGCACCGCGCGCGTGCACGCTCTATCTATCCTCACCCGTTATATCTAACTTTATGCTTCCGCGTTTAAGGCATATCGGTGTCTTGAACGACATCGGGCTTTAGTTGTTTTTTATACGTAGAAAGTATTTAAATTGCAAATCAGACCGCGATATAACACCCAGAATGAACGTCTGGCTTCAAATTTTAGAAAATGAATTTAGAAAGGAACCAATAAAGTTTAAAACACAACTGATTGTGTGTTTTTTTACAATTTTTTGTTATTACAATGTGTTACGAAACATTTTGACCAGAAGACGCGACCTTTATCAATTTTTTTCTAACATAACAAATACAATTCGACATTTTCAGTTAATATAATAAAAAAAGTATATAATAAATATAATTCTTATGTTAATTAAATACAACTTTTATTATAATATATAATAAAATATTATACACGCGCGTACGTATAGCTATAACATTAAGAAAGACAGAAATAATTATTCAAATTGTTAGAACGGTGCAAAAGTTTTCAGTTATTTTTTTAAAGGCACTGTTTGCGTGAGTCGTCACTTCACTAGAAGCGCTAAAAGTATAGGTTGATGGCACATACTATCATGTGTATACATATATATATATATGTGTGTGTGTGTGTGTGTATGGATGGTGCGATACGTTGTGTCGTCATTTGCAGGAAAGATGGTAAAGAGTGACTTGGTCAGAGTATCGATTTGGCACATATTCTAGTCGCTATCGATAAACGCTTGCAAATGTGGTGCTATCTATGTTGCATGCATTGTCTAATATAATGTACCATCACTATGAACGAAAGCTCGTAATTTTTTTCTTTTTATTTACTTGTTGAAAGCCAAATATCACGAGTCACCCGACGATATATATCGAAAAAGATATTCTACGTGCAACATAGAATTATTAAAATATATATAGACACAAATTTATATATAACAAATATATAATATTGTAAAAATAGAAAGGAGATGTATGCATACATTCTTCAAACTTCAAACTTTCTATTATATGTGTGTGTGTGTGTTGAGCGCGTGCGCGCACGTGTGTGCAAAAAGAGAAATGACTCAACGGGGAAAAAATTCAAAATATAAAATTGAGAGAAATGCGTGAAAAGTGAGACGCGTGACGCTCCGTTGCAGTGAAAAGCGCAACATCCGCACGTGGTTATAGCGTGTTTTGATGTGGTCGCTAGGCTACAACGCGCTCGATATATGACAATGTCGCTATTCGCGCTTTCGAGTTTTTTTAGACTGAAGATAAATAACATTTATAAAACATGTAATGTAATGAGAATAATTCCATTATCGGTGAAATGAAACTCTCATTGCCGAGAGTTCGACAAGAGTTGTTGAAAACTCTCCGGGCGCGAAGCGTAAAAATTTAATTTTCTCTATTCCGACATTTCCACGAGATGTGACTTATATCTACATTTTTTAACCGGTTTAAGATTCAACCTTGAAATAATTTAACGCAGATAAAATAAACGGGTTTGACAGCACGGATACATTAACAAACACACAGTATATAACTTAATAAAAAAATTAATTTGTATATGTGTGAATTAATAAAATTTTTTTTCTCGATAATAATGCATTAATAATGCATTAGTTAAATTTTTTTCTCGAGTATTAACATATTTGCGTTGTGCCATGCAAATTTGAATTATGTTTTAACATGAAATAAAATTATTTAACGTCGATTTATAATAATATTAATATAATAATATTTAATTATTTTTATAAAAATTTAAATTTATAAAAATTATTTAATTATTACACAAAACGCTACATATAACACACGATAATGCAATAAATTTTACAATTGTCACATACTCGACAACCTTGCTGAATCTCCTTGTTGGACATAGGCCGACATCTTACCGCTACTTTTACGGATTCTGACATCTGAAAATTAAAAAAATCAACATTATTTCTTTTTATTACGCGTATTGTAAGAGAGAGAGAGAGAGAGAGGAGAGGAGAGAGAGAGAAAGAGAGAGTGAGAGAATCCAGAGACCTTAATTTTGAAAGATAAAACAAAACACGGTGAAAGAAACAATATTTCATACACCCACACACAATCAATATTTTATAGCATATTCTATATACAACAGTATAAAATCCAAAGTGACACGTGGACAATTAACTCTTATTATAATAAAGACTAACAATCAATTGTGAAAGCTATCGGTGGTCGCGAATTGTTTATCTTAGAAAGAACGCGAAATTGTTATCAAATATCTATTTACAAAACATTTAGAAGAGGAACCGCTTTATCGGTGGACAGTTTAATCTTTCATTCGGAGCCGACCTTCGGGAATCGGAGCTGACCTTGAATATAAGGTTAAATCGTCGTCTTGTTCGTGACACACGCCTTCATCGCGCTTTTATCAATGACTAAGCGATACGTGTGCAGATGATATTTCAGTCGGTATAATTTCGATCTCAGGAAAGAACTTTCTGAATAACTAAATGTGCGAAAGCTCCGTTTTGAATTTTAAATTGTTCTTTGTCAAATTATTGGTCGAGTTGGTTAACAAACAAACGAATTCGATAGATTGTTTTTTCGAATAAATTTCTATTTGTTATAGTTTTATTATTACTTTTAATTCGTTTTCTGGGACGCTTAATTTCCAGACAACGTAATTGCGTGTTATCTTGAAATTACGAGCGGTCTGTAATTGAGCAAGAGTTCTCACGTTTGAAGTTAATTAACTAAACGTAGTTAGAAATGGTGTAATACAATTCTATAAGAGGAAACATGTTTTCTTTCTACTCTTTTTGTTTGTAGCATTTATTGTAAAGCACATTTACTTGTCATGTTTTTTTTATTTTTTTTTATTTTTTTTTTTTTTTTTTTTTATCTTAGAAGAACAATTGCGTGTATGTATGACGTATGTGTATAGCAAATCGGTTCATCTTACTTTTCCTCATGCGTGATTGTGTATACACAAGCAAATTCTCAGATCTAGAAGGGTAGATATGCAATGACCCTTTAACCGAGTAAAGTTTGACCCGGTCGTGAGAATTCTTACAGCACCCCGCTACATGTCCGTTTTCTCCAAACATATAAAATTGACAAATGAGAACGAAAACGAAGTTTGCAATACGCCTTCGTTTCGCGCACAGTTTTATAAATCAATTTATTTCAATAATTAAACGTTTTGAGAAGTTCTATACAAAACTGTGGTTGGTTTGTTTGTTTACAAAACTTCAAATTCCGCGTGTCAAATATTTCTCACATATTTTATTTACTTCGTGAATTTTTGATTTTAATTTTTGACATTAATTTTCAACAAGTTATCACGTCACTTTAAACGTTAATTTATTTGTTACGCAAAACAGAAAAAAACGCAATTTCTTCTTTCGTAAAACGTGAAGTTATTATTTTGCGTTACATCATTTTTTTCTCTCACCTCGATTAATTTAAAATTGTAGAAAATTAAACATGACTATTCGTCGCAATTTCGGATCGCGATGGAAACGACGTTACAACAACACGAGGCGACGAACACGTTCAGACTACCGCTTGCGTCGTGACGTCGCGGCGTCGCGACGCCTTCGTTGTGAGTTTATTGAATTCGAATCGGCGCGCGCGCATTTATACGAGCGATCCGATTGGTGTGTATTCGCTTAACTCCGATTTTTATATGAAATTTATTTTTTGTAAACGCACAAGTGCGCTTTATTCAATCGAGCAAAAGAACTATTGCAAAGTGTGAATTCAGCAAAAGACAAAGGTAAATAAATTATTTATTTACAATCCGCGGTTAATTTATCAATTGCAGAAATTGTAGATATTACGGATTTCTCGGATACGCACAGTAGCGAACAAAGAGTTTGGCGCGACGCGCGAGGTCGGCGCGAGATGTCGCATCGAGTTCGATTGTGCGATTCTCGCGCCGACCCATTCGATATGGCGGCGGTTCGTCTAGTCAGTCTGTGTAATCGGTGCAACAGGTGCTGCTTGTCACTCCGGTTCTACGTGTGTTTTGGCGCCGATAAGCGAGCCGCGTCTACCGATAGTGTCGGGGCACGTGCGTGCGATCGTCGGTTTTTTGTGTGCTTTGACGCAATTCGGAGTTCCAAAGCCGGAATCAACACGTGGGTTCCCGACAGAGAAGAATGTTTCTTCCGGATCTTCGGCGCAAAGGGTTTAGGTGCGCGCCGCGCAGGTGAGCGCGTTATCAGTTTTCGAAAGTGCGTGTGTAGCGTTTTTTAAGGCCAGAAATCGATCGACTCGAAACCTCACAGTTTCGCGGTCGAGTAACGCGTTTGTTTTTCTTTTTTTTGACTTTAAGAGATTTTTGTTCAAAAATCTACTCACGTACGTGTTTTGCGTGAAGTTCGTCACTTTTACAAAAAAAAGAATGCGCGTTAGATTTGAAACACCTACGAATCTGTCGAAGAAACCTTACCTCTTTTTGCTTGATGCGTTTTCGTAACGTGACACAAAAACAATTACATCATCAAACTTTTCGAGTGGCGATATCTTCGAAATCGTTTTACGACGTAAAGTTAATATATTCGACGCGAGTTCGAATCAGGCTCTTCTCGAAAGGCCGCTCGATGACACACGCTCGAGCATGCTAACGACTTCGTTATGCAAAATGACAGTATCTCGCTTTCCACCGTATTTGCGCGACATTCATTTCTCTCCTGACATACATCGCCGCAACACACCGACGACGGTTCGTCGCTTCTCACGGTAGAATAAATGTATTTACACTTTGTAAACACACTCTTTTTATGTCAATAAACGTAGTTTAAAGTTCAATAAACAAGGTTGCAAACGTGTGTTATTGCGTCGTGAAATTGCAATTTTGAAAAGCAGCCGCCGATCGACTTCGCGGTCGAAGTCGAGCGGAATTATCATCCCGGAACGATGAACAACCGAAACGCCTCCGCAGGAAGACCAATCGTTCTTTCATGACATTTATCTCGCGAGATACGACAAGTTTCCGAGAAGTGAATCAGCTTTCGCTCTCAGCGGACAGTTTCTTCGAACTTCATTTCTATGCGCGTTTGATCGCTCGAGATTTTTAATTTTAATCGAACTGTCATTTCGCATATAATTTGCGCACGCGAGAGAATATCTCATGTATTTATAATTTTAAGTAAAAAAAAAAAATTACACACATACATTTGCAAGCGCGTTGTATGTATGATTTTAAGTCTTTACGAAGACTCTCATGTGCCCCCCGCGCGTGCGGAGTGCGCAGGTGCCGCGCATAATTAACTATGCTCATACACGCCGACCGATCGATGTTTGGCACTATAATAGAACATGTTTACTCAACTCGCGTGTGTATTTCAACAGAAGAAGCTCATTACACACAACGAGCGTCGTTTGCATTATCGTTTCTCGATATAACCGCGCGCGAATTATATTCGGAAAATTATCGTCGAGTATGAGAGATCAAAGCGGGACTCGGCGATTTAAAGCGGTATTGATAGACGCGAGTATATATTGCAAAAGTGAACGGTGCGATATAGCAAAGAACCCGTTTCCCAGTCGCGTGGGTGTCGTAAAAAAAAAAAAAACAACGAAACCTACGCTCGGGTTGTACGCATTTGGCGTGTTTAGACGATCGGAACGTCTGTCTTCCGCTGAAAACGTAGGCATCATCCTACGTGATAAAAGGGATGGACTCTCTCGACGGCATGAGATACGGCTTTTCATGAAATTTTACGATCTTATGTCCGTGTGTCTGTCTGTGTGTGTGTGTGTGTGTATATATATATATATACAAAACACAGAGCGGATCGCGTCGAAGAGGCGCGATCTCTTTGCTAAATTTGCAATCGGGACAATCGGATGTAATTAGACGTTTATTTCTTTTCTTTTCTGTAAAGATTTGGTCGTAGATTTGAAGTCAAATTTTATTTACTATACAAGTGAAAAAATTAAAATTATTTATCATACAATTGGAGATTACACGCGCATGTATTCTTTTATGCAGATTATAATTTTCCAGAGGAAATTAAACAAAAGGAGTTAGAAGATTCTCTTCTATGAGCAGAAAATTAACACCAGTAGAAAAACATTCGCACCTTTGGATAAGATAAATCTTATCTCTCTGACCTATCTGAGTCGTTGACACTTAAGTCCTCGTATAAATGTATTTTTTTGTTTTTTTTTATTATCGGTTCTCCGCATAACCCAAGATAAGAGATGAAACGAATACACGTTTCACAAAGATGTTATTATGTTGTTTTATAACACGACGCAATCCGCGCGGTTCGATGCGGTGTTGCATTCGATAAAAAAAAAAAAAAAAAAAAACATTAATTGCCGAAAAAAGTTCAGTCTAGGTAAAAGTGAAATTGTGAATCGCAATCGCGCGCTCGATGACAATTAACTCGATACTGTAATTCTTGATAAAACAAAGCTATTTCCGAGTGTCTTTATTTCCGGGCAATTTCCGAGGACTTATTCGCACGCAAACATTTGTATCAATTCGCGCGACGCTAAACGTTCGATTTACGCGCGCGAACGGTTTTATTAACGAAGCGTGTAAAAATGTGAAATGTGTAATAGCGAGGTATCGTAAACCGATAGAAACCGGGTAATAAAAGCAAGTGGAGAAGCAACGTTGTACGTGCAGTGTGTGTTGCGGCTTCGCGAAGCGTTCTTCTGTGAAAAATTAAACTCGATAAACAAAAACAAAAAAAAAAACAGAAACAGTGTCTCGTAAAAACTAATTATTCCACAACAAGTTTCGAACTAAACTTTACACACATACATGTGTTTGTACATGTAATAGAAAAAAAAAAAAAAATACACAATACATTTATTATCCCTTTTGCTTGCCCTCTTCTCCGTTATACTTGCGGTGAGAAGCAAGATTAACTCGTGACATTTTCTTTTATGATTGCCGGAAACAAGGGACTGGAAGGGTAGATAATTCGTGAACGCGCTGATGAGCCTGTTATCTGCAGAGAACGTACGTACGCAACCGCGATAAATGCGATATGCACGTTGGCTCATTTGAGTGCATTTTTCTTCTATTTCGCTACGTAGAAAGCACAAATAATGAATCACTATTAAATACGCACCGCTTACGTGTATATATTTTGTAAGAGACGTTTTTAACGGGCTGTGTGTGCGATTATTGACAATTTCTTTCCGCCCGGTAGTCTCTCTCTTCTCTCGACTCGAAACGCGTAGGTATAACTCGCCGTCTATATGGAGGTCCACGCGCCTAAAATCGATTCAGAGAGACACAGACAGGGCATGGACCTCTCCATCCATATAGTAGCTTCACAGTAACTTTTCCGTACACACGACTGAACAGCGTTCAAACTTTTTTTTTGTTTTCAATCAAGAGTTTGATTTTTTGAACGTAAATTATATATATATTATATGTTATATAAATATTTTTTTCATTCTTATTTAGTTAAAAATATAAAGTTTTGAATTAATATAAAATATATCTCTTGTGAAATAATTTTTTTTTTCACACGTTGTTTACAACACGATTAAAACAATTCGTATTCTTTGATAACTCCGAAACGTGAATTTTATCGAGCAACCAGAAGTGAAAGCCATCGAGAACAAATATTTTCGTAAGACAAGTTCGTAAATAGATCGTCGGTCGCATGCTGGTCGAAATTTGTAAGCGGAGAGGAGATGATGTTAACGTTAACGGTTGAAGTTCTCCTCTTAATTTTACGATCGCTCGTAATGGACGTGCCCGGCAAATTATTATGGGGTAAATTTCGCATCGTCGCGCAAGAGTTTTCAAAATGATCCCGAAATTCAGATAGAGAGATAGAGAGGAAGAGAGAGAGAGAGAAAGGAAGAGAGAGAGAGAGAGAAAGAGATTATAGCGTCTTTATGGGAGTTAGGTTTATTAGGTGCCATTTTCGTGGCGCGTTCAAGTAATTTGTGTGCGTATGTGTGTGTACGCATTTGATCTATCCGTTTACGTACATCTAAGCGTGTGTTTCTCCCTTCGCAAGTTGGACGCGCAATTTCGGGAATACTCGAGATTGTTCTTTTACCGGATAATAAAAATTTGCGAAATAACAGCGAATTAATTATTAATTACATAAATATCATTATTTATTAAATCCAAACGGAGCAAGCTCTCTCGCGCGATCAAAAAGAATAAATTCTCGAATAAACTCGCAAAGTGGTGCGGACGGTAGAAATTGATTTCTTGAACGACGAGGGGAAGGAACGAAGATCCAGGGGGGAGGAGGAGTTACTCGTGGTTAATATAATTCGTGGTGTACCATTGTCGAGACGATGACCGGAAAGGGGAAATACCGCGGAAATTCCACGTTGAAATTAGCATCGCTCGGATTCCGATCCGTTCCTAAGTTACGGCCGAGCGAGAGAGAAGCACGATCCTCCGTGCTTCTCTTATGATCTCTCGCGTATGCGTGCGCGTACATATGCGTATTTTGTACTGAAAAGTCGTAGTAGAATCTACGAAGGTTTTATAGAACGCCAATAAACAAATACTTTCTTTATGCGGATTTTTATTTAATTTGTTACACTACGAGAGATTCTTGTCTACATTTATTGTTGTGTATGTTAATTGCTAGTATCGGGACTCATAATAAAAGCAAGCGTTTCATTTGTAATTTTCTTGTGTGAACGACAATAAGCTCGATCTACATTTGACTTTGTAATTTCATTTGCGTCGCCAAACTTCGACCCACGGAAACCACCAATCGCCCGGTACTTGCAAATATTTGCATCTAAGGCTTCTCTTTACCATTCTCGATTAGAATAGTTGTTGCAAAGTCGTCGCACAGACGTCAAGGAAACTTGATGATTGTTTAGAATAAAAAAAAATTACACAAGAATTTTGATCGAATGTTTTTTTTACAAAACAACAACATACCGATTTTTTTTATTGTACACCTTCTCAAATGCGCTTTTATTTATGAGAAAGCAAGCTCATTGCTTATTCAGGCGGTAAAATTGCTGCCAAAGCAAATCATGTATCGGAAAGCAACTTCGCACTCGTTAATTTTGCTCTTCACTGAAACACACAACACACACATATATGTCAATAAATATGTATATTACAAATACATATATTACTACGTATATTGTTACATCCGCGATTATTCGATTCCAAAAGAATAACCGCTCGCTTTAGAGATTTCTATAAACTCATACAAATCTACAAAAACTCGCAAAAATATTCAAAGAGATTTAAAACTTTCTCTCGAACGTTCGAATAGCTTCCGATTCCTATTGGAATCTGCCGCTTGAATTCAGTAATCAACGACGAGTTGCTATCCATTCGTCTTGTCACACAGTTGTTTCTCTCGTCGCGATCGAACTGTCACTTATTAGGATGACGACAAAATTCTTTTTGCAATAATATAATTTGTATATAAATACAGAAAAATGGTATCAGTATCTCTTTAATTACGAAGTTTTAAAAAATTATTAATGTTTACCTCGATCAGCACATAAATCTAATATATGATCGCGATCGGCAATTATTTCGGGATCTAAATTTGGGGGCATTTTCGCGTCCAGTATCTTCTTTATTTTATCATTATTGATACGTGCACCCGACATCTAAAAAAGTACACAAATACATTTAGTAAATATTTGCTAAAAGCTTTTTTTAATTTCAAACTAAAAAAATAAAAAGCCAAATGCTGGATGTACATGTGCGAAATATATATTTTTTAAACGTGTAAACTAATATATGTATTAATTCAAACTTGATTCAATTCGAGACTTCATATTGGATGCTTGCACATTGTGTACATAAATAATCGTTTTTAGTCTTTTGTGAAATTAAAAAAATATATATATTTTACACGTACACACATCCAACGTTTAGCTTTTAGTTTTTATTTCTTGATTAATTTGACGATTACTTAAAAATTTAGAATTTTTTGTTTTAAATTAAAAGAACACTTAATAACATATAAACCAAATTGAAACCTAGGTAACACAATTTGATTAATAGTGTTGTTATACGTACTATTTCTTTTTTCTGAGCTAGACAGGCAAATAGACAACCAACTTTTAAGGCAGATTCATCGATTTCATCTGTCTGTAAATTGCTTATCAGCAGTTTATCCACATTCTCTAGATCTTCTACAAATAATAATTTGTAATAAAAACAACAATTTCTAAGCTCGTCAGAGTTTACGACTAGCAGATAGTTTAAGATCAATGCGAGCCAATGTGTTTGACGTACGTGCAAATATAATTTCTTAACATGTAAATTAATACATTTTGAACTTGGAAGTTCGAATTGAAATTTAATTCAAAAATTTATCTAATTGTAAGATGTTTAATTTGCAATATATAAATCCACTTTATCTTCTTATGAAATTTAAAAAATCAACGCAACAAAAGACACCTAATTCGGATTCGATTTCTGATCAAGGTATTAATCTTAAACTATCTGCTTGTAATAATTTATAGCTAAAATAAAAACTTTGATTGTATAAAAATTTGCTGAGAACACTTACCAAGTTGTACATTTGTCTTATTCATGCACGTTTCCACATCTGATCTCTCTAGTACCAGGGCTTGTGCTATACCTTCTACAAAATCATCTTCGACACCAATTGTCTGTAAAAAATTTAGAATAATATCAACAATGATAATATTGAAACAGTGAAACATTTGCAGCAAACAATATAAAACAATCTAAAATTTGAAAATTTTAGTTATAATTTATTTATTTTGTGTTCTGTATATTATCTTTATGCGTGTCACAATTGACAATTTTGATTATTTTTAATATTGGATTTGATTACAATTTCTAGAACTTTTATTTTAATTCCTTTAGTTTTGTTTCTAACTCTTTTGAAAATTAACTTGAAGTCTTTTTAACTTAATCAAAATGTAATTTTCATATGCCAACGTTTTTTAAGATGTAAACATGTTGCAAAATATACTTACGACGGCGACAAATAGCGAGAGGACGAATATTATTGCGCGCTGCATGATCTCCTTGAATGTTCGATACAATTTTCAACGATAAATGTTGATTGGCAACGTCTGGTCTCTTGCCCGACAATGAACTGTCGTTGATATCTCGATTTGCATTTATACACACGTTGTTTGCACACACACACACACACACACACACACAGATAAAACTTACGTATCGTGGAGGTTATCGTGCGGAACATCTTTAAGTCGTATTCAACAAATAGTGATTTTTATTGGTGTAGTTTTGAGAAATTTGTTAGAAATTAGAATATTATACCGAAGAATTGACGCAAATAAAACGAGCGAGTCGGTGTTTATAATTTTTTAATTAACGCTTATCTTCGTGGAAATAGAAAGATGGAAAAATACAAATAAAATTCTTTTTTTATTTTTAATGTGCTTTATTGAACTACGTAGTAATATATCATAATATACAAGAAAATATATTCAGATCTTGTGTCTCCAATAGTGCATATTTGTTTCTTTTATTGCGTTGTTTCAAAACATTAAGAAGATTCCGAATAAATGCTGCCGTCACTTGCAATCTGAGAATCTAAGTTCGCATGCCCTTCCAGAAACACACCATGAGTTCGAGGATCTTGTCGCACATTTCGTTGATTGTTTTAACTGAAATGAGATATTGCGTTATTATTTAATTATCGTTCGTTTATTTTCTGTGAATCGAAAGAGAGAGGGAGAGATATGCTATTTGCAATATAGTTTTTGTTTTTGTTTGTTTACACTTGCCTTGATCGACGCAATGATCTACGGTGTCGGATATTTGTTTCTGAACCTCCGCTGGTAAGCCTTGGTGAGCTCTTGTGCCTTTTAATTTCTCCGTTTGAATTTCCGTATCGACAATCTGAAAATCACACGCGAGAAAGAAATGACTTGCTTGTGTATATTTCTTGTATTACTTGCTTGTTACATATTTCGAGAAAAAAAAACGAGAAAATAGAAAGATTGTTTAGCAATTATATTAAAAAAATATTTTACTCATATATATAGGCGCGCGCGCGCGCAAACACACATTTTGTGTCTTACCATGCCTCGCTTTTCCAACATACACTTGGCGTAGCAGCCGTTTTTTCTCGCCCTTTCCTCGTTTTCCGGATTCTTGTAAGAGCCGTCCGTTACTTCCGTCTTGTTGAGCAATTCAGCTGAAAAAACGATCGGTTTCATCTCATTAAATATTATCAAGTCACAGTCAAATGCGCAGAAAAATGCAAAAAACTTTTCGGAGAAGATATTGTTACGCGATGTCTCGTTTGTACCTTCCGTTAGACTTGCGGATTCGTAACACTGCTGCTGATCCGCAGCGGGCAATCTCGCGATATGGTGGACCACGTTGGCAAACGTGGAAGTGCCATCGCACCGGTCTGTATAGACGACTAACTGTGAAATCAATATTTTTGTGTGAAACAATATAACTCGCCGTTATTACATTCACGATACAAAGAGTCAAACGTTTATTTTTGTTTTTGCTGTTAAAAACTTACGAGAGTCGCTATCAGACAGACGAGGAACGTGAGAGACTTCATCATCATCGATTTTGTTGGTAAAACACTTTCAACGTGGCGTCGCGAACTGAAGAACGTGCGCTCGTACATCCCCTATTTATATCTCCTGTTTGAGAGAGTAATCAATACACACGAACCACCACCGATGAGACAAATCTCATAGGAATTTTTTGCACGGATAACGTTTGACATGTACGATATGTGTGCAAATAAATGATATAGGAGGATAACCTTGCTGTATCACACGGTCAATGTACCGTGTGATCAATCGGGAATTCACATTATATATTACATAAAACTGAAATCTGTTGCGTATTCGAAAGCGCGAACGATATTTAGAAAAAATACATACATGTATATATAATTTATTTTCCTGTTTATGATTTTCTCCTACAATTTTCCTGCACACTTATCGCATCTCATGTGATGTTCGTATATTATTAAATAATATATAATAATTGACAATAAATACACGCACATATAAGTAAAAAAAACCCCCTATTTAAATCCAGTTCTAAAATATTATCCCTGAATCTACATATACGTGTGTTATATATGAATGTGTATAGATATTTAAGTATTTAAAATCTATTGTGGAAAAAATAGTTGTTACTTTAAAAAAAATTTGTTTGCAAACGTTCTCTGTCGGTTCAATAAGTTATCATAAAGCGCACTGACTGTGACGCTACTTTATCGTTGCAATAAATCATCTTTCGGAAATACCCAATGTTTTCAAGTTGTTATATAAAACTGATTTACACGCAATAGTATATTATCTTTTTCGTCTTGATATTTGCCAAAATAATGTGAGAATTGCGTGAGAATTTTTTACGCGTTTTTATTTGTGCGTAAAATAAGTAAAAATTGAGCGAATGAGGAGGAACAGCGGTTACAAGGAGTGCAGTTCTGTCTTCACTGGGTGTAGCTAAAGTTATATGTTGTTTGTCAATTTTTTGTTTTTTTTTTATTTTAATTTGACGCATTCGTGCTCCCATTAACCTTCTCATTTACTCAATTTAAAATTTTGAAGTTATTATTCACAATTCGTTAGATTTAAAATAAGTAGATCGCTTTCATCAGGTCAGATTGAAAAACGTTAAAAAAGTCGAAATATGTTTCTCTGTCAAAACTTCAAAAACATCGTTAAATATAATAAATATTAGAGAAAGAATATAAAAACGAACTGACGATAAAAATAAACGAGAAAGATCAAATATCACGTAGTTTTTAATAATAAAAGATTATTATAATGTAATTACACTTCATATAATTTAGATTGTAATGTGAGATGTAATTATAAAATATCATATTGCACAACCACACATTAATGTGCTTTATCACAAGTATCGCATTCATCCCTGACATAAAAAGCGCGCAGAAGAGGATACGTGATACGTGTGTTAGGTATATCGTGTGTGATTTTTATCATACAATACACATACAGTTTATTATATGCATTCATTAACAAGGTTTTTTATTCAAATTTTTACAGCATTATAAATTTTCTATAACTTACTTAAACCCCGATGACAGAACGTGTTGTTTTTTTTTTTACGATGTTACTATTGCACGATACAGAGGATATATCTCGAGTTTTTGTTATTCAAATAACGCGTTCGTGAATTCTATTTACTAGTCTTCACTTATTATTTTTTGTCTGACGGAACGTAGATGCAAAGCATTAATCCGAACGCCATCTCTCCGTTAGTCATTTTGTCTTTGTCTTCGTTTACTAGAAATAATATGTGTGTGTAATTAGAAACGGATTAGAAACAATTTGTGCACATTGCTTCGCGAAACAGATGCAATTAAAATTGTAAACGTAACGCGCATTTATTTTTCAATTTTATCTCAGATTTACTTACGTGAGTCTAAGCATTCTCTTAGTTCTTTTTCGTCTGGTGCAGTTATCATATCCTTATCTTTTTTTATACTCTCAATTATCTTGTCCGTAAGTAGTGTGTTGCCTTCCATCTGAACAATTGATTTAAAAATTGGATACAAAAAAAATGCAACCACTTGTTAAATAAATACAAAATCAATTGTATAGACGTTCTGTTAGGATTTGTTAATATAATAATACGAAGAGAAAGTGTAAAAGTAAGCGATTTTTTACCATGCCTGTCTTCTCCAACATGCACGCCAGGAAATTGTTGTGTTTCACGACAATTTCTTTAGTCTCTTCATCGATTTCTTCATTGGATGCACTATCTTTTATCTTCTTCATCACACCGTTCACTTCCACTATCGTAAATTCAAATTTTAATTTTTTTTAGTTATTTTTATAAACATAAATAAATTTCGCAAACACGCGGAATTCAAAATTTACCCATGGTCGTATCAGCTTCTTTCAAACATCCCGTTACTGTGTCTACGTCGGTTTCAAATCCCTTCGCTGTATTCTCAATTAGTTGCATGTCATCTGCAATCGTCTGCAAAACATTTTATATTTTACACTCTCCACTAATACGCAATATTTTTATACCAAAATTTTGTCTTTATTTATATATTTTACTTTTAACTCTATAATAATTTTTGCTTACACGTTTTAAACATATAAGAGATATTTTAAAACTGTTATATACATTATATATTATATTTTTAGATCTGTTTTCTTTTTCTTTACATTATATTCAAACAAAATAAAGATGAAACAAATAGAAAAATGTTTAGCTCAACGGTGATAAATAATAAATTGTACTTACAGCGGCGACGAGCGCCAGAAGAAGAAGTGCGATTCTCTTCATTATTAACGGCACGCTTCAACAAATAACGAACTACGTACGTAAAGTTAATCCGTCAACTGAACGCAAAGTATTTCTATGGCTCATATTTATATTGCTCTGTCCCACGGTGTTCGATGTGTGCAATCTTACGTCATCGCACAATTTTCCATCTGTGTGTATGTGCGTTTATGAGCGCGGATTTGCGGAAGCGCGAGCGATATAATTGGCCGACATATCAGATTCGCATAAGATTTTTTTTTTTTTTTTTTTTTTTTTTTTTGATGGCGTTACGATACCGCGTTGCAACAATATCACAATTGTTTTGCATGCGCGTGTGTGCGCGCAAGTTAGATCCTTGTGTGTGAGTGTTTGCGGCTACACTCATCGAAATAAACGACCGAGTGCGCAATACGAAGTTAAAGTTTATAGTATCCAAGAAACGATAGAACAGGAAAAAAATCATTTGCACTAATAGTAATTTTATATAATATAAGCGCGAGCGCACGTACACACATCGTTTAAGATATGTAGATACATATTAAAATGTGTTTCTGATTAATTGAGCAATTACCCGCCACAGAATGGGCAAAAGAGAAAATCAGCGAATTACAGCGAAATAATATCTGATAAAGACGACACTGGCGAATTACGATGATGATGAATAAATGATAAAAATAATGACAGCAATTACGGAAACTACTCAAGGTCACCGAAATGTTCTGATCGTTGGAGTAGCACAATAGGCGTATGTATAAACGAAGTCTGATTTTTTAATTTGATTTTACCTGTTTGCGCGGTAAATATACGCTTGCTTAATCGACAAAAAAGTGTTTCTGCGAAAGCGAGACTATAAACCTTCTCGCCTCGAAATTGTTTATTGAATAACATAAAATGCAACCAGATGACACGTGCTCGTAATTGCGAGAATCGTAACAAGTTTTATCTTTTTTGAACACACACACACACACACACATTGTTGTTTTGTTACATAAAATTTTGCGAGATTTTTCACGCAATCGCATCGAAGAGAATAATTATTTACAAGATCAGAGTATACGCACGCTATAGACGCGAACGATTATTATTACAAGAGCTATATTTTCCGTAATATTTAAAATGTCACTTGCTCCAACCCTTTCTCATCTTTATTCAGCCTGTTTTTTTTTTTTTTATGCTTGAGTGCGTGAACTAACTTCCACTTTTATCGCCAACTGCCATTATAACCAGCGACGTGAGTTGCTCGCGCGCGATCTTTTCTTCGCGTTTTACACAGACACATATGTACATACATATATGTACGAAATAACGAGGATGTCGCGTACATATACACGCCGATCGGTAAAAACGTTGCGCACTTTGTTATTGTCACAATTTATCATCTAAATAACTCAATATGTTTACTTCGTTTATTTATATATCACGCCACATACAACGTAATACAAACAAACTCGCCATAAGTCTCGGGTAGGATGTAATAAACCAAGAATTTTTCGATAAGTAAACCGAAAATTTTCTGACGATCGAATGTCGTATATTTACGTTGTTGATTAATTAAGAAAACTTACACACATTTCTCAATTTTGCATCAACAAGTTTATTTGAGAATATCGAAAAAATGATATTACAATGCGTTTTCTTCTCCGGAGAAAAGGACGGAAGAAACGGAAGTAAAATGGGAAAATGCAGAAAGTGCGTAATTAACATATATTTGAAATGTTTTTTCGATTACAGAATTCGATGCGCAATTTGTACGCTCACATGTGTGTTTTAAAATTCGTTCTCTTACTTATACTCGTCATGACAAACCGAAATCGCTTTTCTCTATTCGTTTCTTTACATCTATTTTTGTTTTTGTTTTTTTTCTATCTATGTTGAAAAATCCTCCCAGAATTATTATTACGGATAGAAAGCAATCTGCAAAAAGAAACAAGATACTTTAAAATTCATTCTACACACGTGGACGTATGTATAATTCCCGAAAAAAGATATTCAATAAAAAATTTCCGAAAAATATATATTTAATTGCATCATAATTATTTTGTGGATATATTATGCTCGAGACATTTGTATGAATTTATTTTGTTCACATTTTACGGATCAAAAAAAGAAAAAAATATTTGCATTACCGCTGGATTGTACTCGTAGAAACACTTTGCCATCTCGTACGCTAACTCACATCCTTCCAACGGTTTTATTGCTGTAAACAAATCAATACAAATATATCCGTCTATGTATGTGCACGGTTTTATGCGAGTGTGTTATAAATGCTTTACCATTTAGCAAAAAAAAAACATTTTGTGTTTTAAATATTTTAAAACTGCTATTAAAAGTATGTGTAAATATATACGGTCAAACCTCCCAAAACGTATACTCCAAAAAAAGTAAGTCTTTGCGCATGCGTGAGTTAAAGAGTGAGGGAATAGGAGAAGTATACGTTTTGGGAAGCTCGTAGGTTTCGACTGTATACGTTTTGGGAGGTTCGACTGTAATAATAAATAGTCTTTGTACTTACCGATCGAGTGACAATGCTCTATACCATCTAACATAGGTTGTTTCAAACTGTCTTCTAACATGAGCTCCGCAGTCTTGACAAGTGCTTTTTCTACAACCTTATCATCTTTACTTATCTGAAAGAAAAAAAAACCGAAATTTTTAATCTGGTTGAATAACTTTATTTTAACTATTTATTACTTACAGATTTTGTATTCAGCATCAAGCATTTATAATAACACTGCAGTTTTCGATCAGGTACAAATTTACCATTGTTCGCGTCGTCGATCAGCTCTGTGTCACAAATCGATGTTATCATTAACATTTGTGCACATTTTTCACGTTTTATCCGAAGCTATTTTATTATTAATATACATACTTGGATCAGTTTTCACTTTGTCAATACAAAGTTTTCTTATCGGTTGCAGAGCTTCTTTAACTTCGGAGAGTGACATTCTTCTCTGCGGAGATAAAAATCAATCAAGCGGAGCAATAATATTTAATTTCACAATTTCTAGATTATCGAATATTCGCATTGTTAAATATATTCCGATTTTGCACGGCGTTTAATTAGTTTTCAACACACAATCAATTTACACGTTTTACACAAAATAATATGTAGAATCTACAATTTGAGTTTGTTATAAAAAATATTGCAAAACTAATTAAGTCAATAATACGACAGTTTTATTGACTCGTATTTTCTGTAAAATTCCAAGAGAAGAAGAGCTTACACTATCCGCATTTCGAAAGTTTGCCACGAACACAAACGAGACGAGAAGAATCGCACTAATGTCTCTCATTTTTGTTTTGCTATTTCTAAATTCTGGTTCTTCTTCCGACCCCGGATTGCAACTGGGGCTGACTCTTGCAAATCGCGTGCCACACGCGTTCATACAGTTTTATACACAAGGAAGTAACACGGAAGACTAGAGGGAGAACCCTTAATCTCAAAGATTTCTTGAGATAACACACATCCTACATAGTATCCGTCTAAATTACCGTTCGCTTGACATAATTAGCGATACTTAACGCTAACAGTGACACCCGGATTGTGTCTTATTTACTTCTCCCTGTCATTCCGGAGCTTGATGGATCTCAATATTACGCAAGTGCGTTGTTATTTCGACGCGTTAATGTCGGGTTCTCTCGCACATTTGACGACGCAATTTGCACAAAAACAAAAGACAGACTTTTATTGGAACTTATACAATATTTGCATTCCTGTTTGTCTCTAGAAATAATTACAACTTCGAACGAACATCTATAACATTCGGTTACGGGAAGAAGAAATGAGCCGGATCCGTTTGGTAGCTGCATTTCACAAACTGATAAGTCGTTTCACAGTCGTCTCCGGCGGCAGCTGTAAAAGAAAAACATCGGAATTTTTATAAAAAAATAATTTTATTCGTTAACGGTTTTGTCTTATAAAACAATTAACTTACGTTGCGCCGCGCACGTACTAGCGGTTACCTTCAGTGGTTCCGCCATTTCGGCGGGCATCATCAGGTCCATTTGTTTGATCATCATTCCGGAGTCAATGCGTCCATTCTTAAACTTTATTGCAACAAAAGAGTGCAAATTATTCAAAATGTACTAACATTCTCATTATATAAATTAAATAATTCTTCTAATACGTGCTCCGTCTAGCACATAATGTTTCTTTACTGGATTAAAAAAAAAAAAAAAACACGAAATTATTTAACGCTTACAGTTCGCATTGTCTTCATGATGCAAAGCGTATAGCATTTCAATGTCTGATCATCGTCTGGGAACGCACCGTTTTGTATTCCTGCGACAGCCCCTGTACAAAATTAAACTTATGAGATTATCTCGCATCATGCGAGAAAAAAGCGTTAAAATATATCTCAAACTTTTATTGTAAGCGCGAAAATAAAAGCGCAACTATAAATTTGCGTCACAAGAGAATTTCTCATAGAAAATTAAAAAAGTTAAAAGGTATTATAAATACGATGCAACAACAATTTTTTTTTTCCACGAAGAGGAAACCGCGAAAATTAACATCCAACCACATAAATTTGCATAACCAACTCACCTGGATCCGCGTGAGTTTTCGTGGTGCACGTATTTCGCATAGTTTGCGCGGTTTTTTGAATTTGTTCCATCGTCATTGCCTAGTACGAAAAAATTAAATGTACACGCCTATCACAAAAAGAAATCAAATGTACGTTTATTTTATAATTTTTCACCGCGACGATTACATAGATGTGCGCTAATAAGAGAGATTGACTTTATAATATCTTACCGTTTATATATTTTATAAATATTTTATATACACATAATACTTTATATATTTTACATATATTTGTATAAATTATACAACTATAAATTATACATTTATATAAATGTATAATTTATATAAGTTGTATTTATATAAATTATATAAATTATTTATATAAATTATACAACTTACCGCAATCACTTGATTTACCGCAAGCGTGAGTACAACCGCACAGATTAACAGACGAACATACATTTTACAATATTTGTTTATAAACAAAGTTTTATATAAAATCACAAATTGTCGAAATATCGTCGAAATATTTCGAAGCTGACGACAGGCCGTGTCTACTTTATGTCACCGCTTTACGTATGACTGTGACAAGTCGACAGCTGAACCGCGCTTGATATATACAGCAATAATCTCATTTACAACTTTGATTTCATAGTATTTACTTGTAATCATAGAGGAAATTTATGCCTTATTGAAGTTAAGGAAACGCAAAAGACGAGGAACGCAGCTCGTGTTTTATAAAAAAACAAAAAGAAACAGAGAGAGAGAGAGAGAGAGAGAGAGAGAGGTTGTTGATTAGTCGGATGGTAATCGACAATTCGTGACATTCGTGATGACATGGTATTATCCGAAGATTTCAACTACAGATATTCCTGCAAAATAGCTGTGCTATTCAGTGGAAAATTTTACATTGAAATTCCTCTTCCTCTCTTTTGTTATTTTACGTAAATCTGTGTCTGTAATTAACAACAATTTAATATACGCGAATCTACACACATATTTAAACTTACATAAAAAATGTTAATGTTAGATCTCTCGTAAAATGTTATCTCTGCGAATATTTGCATATATTTTTTCTTGATCGAAAATACAAAGTTGATATTTTTTTTTCGCAACAATTACACTTTTCGCGTCGCAAAAACAAATTGCAAATTGCGCGCGTAATCGCGCGCAAGTAACGGACGAGAGAAAAAGAAGCGCGCACATGAACAATTTATTTCCAGTCTGGTGGTGCACTTTTAATTTGTTTATCGCCGGAGTGATGTTTCGGAATCCCGGAAGCGCGCACGCGAGCGTGCGGACGGAGAATTGACAGAGCGAGATACTGCAACATCAAAATCACCGCTGATTAGTCACTTCCCGTCGTCGGGAAGAGAAGAAAAATAGAGAACTGAATTATCGTACAGGCCGTCTTGCCGGGATGTGAACTCAGAATAAAAATCCAAGTATTGATTTTTTTTTTTTTTATTCGATCTATATCGTTTATAAATATTCAGTTAGCGTATCCATTACTGACACACAGCAGCACACACAGTACGACGACGGTGGGGACGATGGTGGTGGTAATGGTGGTGGTGGTTGGAGGCGGTTGATGGCGACGATGGCGTTAATACTGGGACTAGTGATGCCCGAGGCCGTCTGTGGCTCGTCGTTTCTTCTTGCTTAAAGCCATACGGCTAAAAATATCGCCCTCAACTCGAATCGCACGATGATCGCTTCAGCGATGAAATTACAATCAATCGTTATTACAACTACGCGGCGTTGTGCGCTATCGACCGTTTCAGTGATTCACTTCGGTGTGTTTTGTCAACTGACATTCAATTTTCAACATTGAGATTCACGAAGACAATATTATAAAATGAAGAAAGATGAGAGAGAAGAAGACTGCGTTGTGCAAATGTGTGCGTAAGTGACAAAATCAAAACAAAAATCTCTATTACGCGCATGAACTTATTATTATATTTAAAAAAAAAAAAAAAAAAAAACAGTTTCAACGCGTACATTAAGTAGAATTAACAAATTCTTTGGTTAAATTGTGGGTAGTAAAACGTTAGTTATTAGATCGAATCTTCATAATTTATTCTCTTCACAATGGAAGTGAACAAACACCTCTCTCGGTCGGTAATTATCTCTCGGACTCGTTATGTCACTAATTATGCGACTAGCTCCTACTACCAGACATTATTATTTTCTTCGTAATCAAACGCATGGGGCACACACGTGTATTTATTAATTAACTGCTATTGTGGATGATGAAATTCGTCGTGTATTATGTTCAACCTATTAATTAGCCTTTATTAATTTATATGCGGTAATGATGCATGTATAAATGTGCATCGTTAACATTAAGTGTGCGTCCGTGTGCTTAAAATGTTAGTTTTAGATTAAAAACAAACTGATGGTTTCAGCGCTTTTTCAAAATTATATATTAAAAATCTCAAATTTGTATTGTAAATTTTATTTGATTTGCTAAGAAAATCTGAAAAAAACGCAAATTGCCTGTATCATAGTTGGTTTTAAAATCGAGACTATCTGCGAGATTTTCGAAAAGCTGCGTATTGAAAATCTCAGAAATTTGTATTGTTTCATTTTATTTGCCGAAGAGAAATCCGAGAGAATGTCAAATCCTTGTATTGTATAACGTCCATTAAATGTCCAGTGGACGTCCATAACATGTGACGTCTAGTGAACATCTTAGTGGAGGCTGATTCAGAATGTTCCATGTGGGTGCCGTAGTTCTTGAAATCGGGTCTCGGTCTCTTCGGGATTTCCGGAATGAATAAATCGAACGACATTCCTTGCGCGGCCGTTCACACGCGAGTGTCGTTCGAATTTCGCACAAGGCGCAGAGTGTGATTCATCTGTGACATTTGAGCGTTCTCCGTAACTTTGGGAGGAAGTTTTTAGAGCAGACCTGTCTTTTTATCTGTTTGAACCTCGGAGAGGGGAAGAGACCTTTCCTTTTCTCATTGAGGGAGCAGGAACTACGGTAGGCGCCTCTTAGGAATGTACCTTCTACCGGCGTGGTCTTTTGAATTTATTCTGTTCGCATTCGTCAATTGGTGAACCCCCCCTTGTCTCTCTAAATCCGACCAACCGACGTTCTACCGTATTATTCGCCGCCGAAGGAAGACGAAGACGAAGAAGAAGAGCGATGTTGCTTTTCTTCTTCCTCTTCTTCTCGTTCTCACATTCAATACTCGGATATACAATGCGTGAGAAAAATGCAGTCGAGGAAACGGAGAACAATACCGTTTAGCTCACCTTTTAGGCTCAAAATATATATAACTGCACGATAGAAATCGCTGCATGATGATAGTTCGAGATATGTGCAGAAAGATCTAACAATAGTTTTTCGGACAAAACATTTAAGACATTTATTTTACATATTTTTCAATTTTAATATGATGCAAATATCGAATATAATTTCAAAAACATACACATTGCGTGTTAAAATAAGAAATATGTGTTTTTTATGTAAAAGTATATGCGCCGGTATCGCAGATTGTCGTCTCTTGTCGCGCAGTTGCTGTTGCCACCTATTGTCACGCGGTGCAATCAACGCGCGAGTACAAGTTTGTCTGCGCAACAAGGCACATTGTGCAAAATTGAAACTTGTGCAGTTTCCTTACACACCGTCGTAAAATGCTTCGGCACAGCTGCACTTGGCGGCGATGCAACGCGCTGATTAGTCCCGATTGAAATTGACTCGCTTGCGAAATTGTTCGAACGGTACTTACCGATGACGTCGGACAGTCGAGAATATTCCTTGTACATATATATGTGTATCTATCAAGCTGCAAAAGAGCTAATGTGTTAACGGATATTTTTGCCCGGTTGCAGGGGTTCGCGTGTTCTTGCCGCGCTCTGTTCTCACGAGCTCTCGTGATAAAAGAAACAAACGCGGAAGCTGTATGCGCGCACACGCAGCTTGTGCGGTGTGTAATAATACGTTAAAATTTAATTACGCGACGATACATCTTTGCGCGACGATCCGCGCGATCTTTTCTCCGGACGAAAGTGTGTTGTTCGGAGACGTCTAACAACAATCTGAAGAAAGATTTGCACAGATATTTGTGAGATAATCTGTCAATTTATTTTAGTTTATTTTGACAAGTCTCTTTTGTCGGGCGAGAAGATAACAGAGCTTCGATAAGAGAAACCTCGCTGTGCCTCATCTTTTGTTACTCGACGGATGTGGAACCGGTAGATGACTCAGTAGTTTCTTGTTTCACAACGAGAATGCGAACTAATTAATTAATCAATTTGCACGTATACATAATGTATGTGTAATCAGCATCGAAGTTCATAAAAAATATTTATACTCCCTTCAATCGGTATATTCTCTCGCTTAAACTTTTTTATTATAACTAACGAGAGAAATGTACATCCGCGCCGCATACGTTGAATGAGATAATTTGTGTTTAAGAGAGTAAATTTCAAATTCTAATTTATTCCTCGGTACAGGTTCTTTTGTGCGTACGTACGAAATTGCGAGAAAGTTCGAAAACAATCGGCAAACGGAACGCTTTGTTTTTGTATGTTTTTTTTTTTTTTTTAAGAAGGAAAGGCTTAAAATTACGCAATGGGAGTTGTCAAGGCCGCGACCTTCGCTGAAGAGCGGATAATAAACTTGAAAAGAACTTCACAGGCGGCGCGCGATGGGAAAGCGGGAAACAAACGGGAATAATTCGTGAATAAGTCATGACAACGTGATATATTTACGTTCACTTATGCATTATGAAAATTATCGCGGAAGAAACACCGAATACATTCTATGAGAAAAGATTGTTCTTGGCGCGTAATTGCCTTATTAACGTTATACTTTATTATTAATTAGTGTGTATATTTTTCTCTTTTTTGTGTTGCAGGTGTATCGAGTGACGTTCGCAAAGTGTATTTTTTTGTTTTGTTTTAGTTTTTATTTTTTTTAAATTGAATTTTTTGTTTTTTATTGCGAAGTGTAATGTGAAATCGCATAATGTAAAATTACTATGAAAGAAGAGATGACGTCACTAGTGCAGAGGGACCTGGGATCTCAGAAGAAAAGAGAGTCCACCAGCAGCACCTCGTCCAGCTATTTGTTGGTGAGTCTTTAAAAAAAAATTCCATTTTTTGAAAAAAAAAAAAAAGAAGAAAAACAATAATTTAACATCTATCGAATTTGGGACAATGTCTCACGTACTTCCGCGAATATTCGCGCGGGAAGATGAGAGAACGTGTTCTTTCACGCTGCAAAAGAGGAAATTGCGTGACGCACGAGAGAAACTGACGCCATTTGTCACGGAGGGAAAGGACGAGTTAGGGACGGCGAACGCTGTCACAGGAAAATTTTCGGCGACCGTGGAAAAACTTTTGTATTACGGAGCGACATCGTCCCCCACGTCTTCTCGCATTATTATCGGCATCATCCTTTGCTTTGATTATTCGTGCGTGCGTTATTTTTATTTTTTTATCCTCTTATATTTCTTCGAGTACGAGACGAGAATTCAAGATTTTTTTTCAAAACAATTGCGTGGCGTTGCCTATTTGTTGTGGATAAGCGAAAGGAAAAACAATAAAAATAAAATATCGAAAGTTGTCAGATTCTGAAAACTCTTTTCAAACCGAAGGATATAAACAACGTACGTACGTTATTTGAAATTATTGTTATTATTATTATTATTAT